GGGTCGGGTATAAGGATATACCCATCAACACTAGTCATTATTAAGTTCTATTTAGCGAATAAAAAAATTTAAGTCTTACATTCAGAAATAACTTATGTTTTAATATTGCAAATTTCACTAAACAAAAATCAGTTAACTAGTGAGTAGTTAGGGGTCCACTTGCTTAGGTTCTCCTGGTTCTGAAATCCCGAGAATCTCCGCCGTCAATGGAGGAAGCGATCCGGAATCTGTGGGAAGAAGTTAGGGATCTCAGCTTTGGCACCACCTCACAGATCGACCACCTCCCCTCTCCCCCAACCTCTCTACATTTCCTCCGCCACTACGTCTCCCCCAACAAACCCTGCCTCATCTCCGGCGCCGTCGCCCACTGGCCCGCCTCCACTCTCTGGCACTCCACCGATTACCTCCTCTCCTCCCTCTCCTCTTCCTCCGTCTCCCTCCACCTAACCCCGACCGGCCGAGCCGACTCCATTACCCCCCTCCCCTCCTCCACCGAATCCCTCTGCTTCGCCTCCGCCCACGTCGAGCGCCTCGCTTTCCCCGACGCTCTCCGGTCGGTCCTTCAATCGGACGGCTGCTCCGCCGTCGCTTACCTCCAGCAACAGAACGATTGCTTCCGTTCGGAGTACGAGGCGCTCCGTCCCGACTGCGAATCGCACATTGATTGGGCGTCGGAGGCACTCGGATGCCTTCCGGATGCTGTGAATCTGTGGATCGGGAACGATCTGTCCGAGACATCTTTCCATAAGGACCATTACGAGAATCTCTACGCCGTGATCACCGGGGAGAAGCATTTTCTGCTTCTTCCTCCCACTGACGTCCATAGGATGTATATCAGAGAGTATCCGGCTGCTCAATATCACTATTCCCAGGTTTCAGTTTCTAAAATTCATACATTCTGATTTCTGATTCTGTGTTGTGATTCTGATTCTAAAATTCATGAAAAATATTTATCTTCCAACCAAACGGACCCTTTGGTTTGGCTTGAAATCCTTGAATTGTATAGGAGAGCAAGGAGTTCTCCTTGGAACTGGAAGAACCAGTTAGGTATGTGCCATGGAGCAGTGTGAATCCATACCCTTCACCTGATGTGAAGGAGAAAGAAATAGCAGAGTTCCCTCTATATTTCAATGGGCCTAAGCCATTTGAAGTCACAGTAAAGGCTGGGGAAGTTCTTTACTTGTAAGCATTTCATGGTTCTTCTCTTTATCATCATATCATTTGAAACAAGTCTCCCTTTCTTGGCTGTTCACCTCTTGACACACACATATAAACATGTTTTCGAAATCATCAAGCCTATGGTAAAAATTTCGTCACAAGAATTGGTGAAAAAATTGATATTAAGGCGTACATTCTTCTGCTTTGCTCCCATTTGACGTGTTTCATCCACGGATGATGAATGGATCGAGTGATGGATGATGGGTGCAGCAGTGACGGATGAAGAGTGATGGAATGGACGAGGATGAAGTTCCACCCGATCCAAACCTAATCCGTTGCCATTATTGATAATTTCATATCAACTTCAAATCTCATCCAAAGTGTACTCTATGCTGAGATTCATTGATTATGGTTTTTTGTGCTTTGAATTGTGCAGGCCTAGTATGTGGTTCCATCATGTGAGACAGAGTCCAGACAGAAGAGGACTCACCATTGCACTAAACTACTGTAATGGTTCTTGATTTGTTTTTCTTCATCAAAGAAATTTCCATTCCAATAATATAGTGGTTTAGTTGAAGTCATATGAAACTTGTGTGACAGGGTATGATATGCAGTTTGATGTCAAATATGCCTACTTCAACTTCCTGCAATCTATACCTGCTTCTTCAATACACAAAAACCAAACCCCAAGTTGCAGAGTGTGCACAGGATCATGTTCTTGTACATCTGCATGCATTCAATAAATACACAAATCCAACATCTTTGCTTGGTCCTGTCATGGAATGGGCTAACAAGGAGTTTGGCTCGTGAGAGCTCTCCTAATGGGCCACGGCGGACACGCTGGCTGAATGCCAACCTTGTTTACAAATGGGCTCGGGTTGCTTATTGGGCTCAGTTAGCGTTGCGGCCTTCTTGGCAAGCCCACGTGTGTTGCAGGTTCTGCGGGTCAGCGCGTATGGTTTGTGGGCCTACCCATCATTGGCTTTATGCTCATTCGTTCCAACATGGCGGGTAGTTAGTTTTTATTTAATTGATGATAGAAGTTTATCAAATTTAACTCCAAAAGGTTAAACTGGATGAGACGGATATAATAAGAGACACTTTGAGAAAGGGTTAATCTTTACTCCGTTTATGAATTGATTCACAATCTCTTACGGAGTACTCATACATTTTTCTCTCCTAGTAACCACTAGAGTATTTAAATGGTTATAGTGCCATCTTATTTCATCATATTATACGGTATATCCTAATGTACCTGCATTTTTGTATATTCAATAGCACTCCTCCGTTCCAAATTAAGTTTTTTGTTTACTATTTATCGGTTTAAACTTTCTTATTTTGTTAGTCATTTAATAAAATAATATAATAATGTCACCACTTGTTTTGTAGATGTTTTGATGTATTTTTAAATATAGAATTTTTATTTTTTTAATTCAACATCATTTTTCATATAAAATGATTTGAAAATAAATTCAATCAAATATCATAAACTGAAACAAACAATTTAAATGAGGCGGAGGGAGTAACAATTTTGTAACTTGTGAATTTATATACAATAATTTTATAATGCGTATGATCCAAGTGTAAAAACACAACCATTCTTTTGCAATTTTATTTCCAAGATTTTGTCTTATTCTTTCAAGGAATAAAAATGTTATAATTAGAATCAAAATGAAAATTTCTTTAATACCAAAAAGAGCATTGTGCAATTATTAAATATGTGTATATGTATACATCAATTTCATAATTTGAAGGTCGAAGTATATGTGAGTATATGTGAACACTTAATAAACGAAATGAGTATCATGTAGCGTAAATATGTATTTATTGGGTTTACGATAAGTATTGTAGATCTGAATGTGTTATATAAGATAATATAAGAACTAACTTAACACCTTCCTCACAATAAGCATAACCCATTTATACGGGTGAATTCCCTGTTTGTGTAAAACCCGTGCAAGGCATTCCTTTATATGTAATTCAAATATACATTTTCCTAAATAATGCAACCCGGATTTGGCTAATCCGTTTCTGATTTTATTATTTATTCAAACGGAGTAGGCTACTCCGTTTCATTGATTTAATTGCCAAACGGATTTGGCTAATCCGTCCAACCATTTTTTTGTATAGTTTTCTTGTTTGCATACTGGCAGTACTACTATTCCATTTAGTTTTTTGCTAAGTTGCCTAATCCGTTTTTCTTTCTTTTTTTTATAGTTTTCTTTATCATAATCACCTTCACTTATTTGTTCAAATATTTTTTACTTTAATTTTTTTTTTGTTCAAATAATTTTTGTCACTTATAAATAAATTATAAAACTTAAAAATAAAATACTTTTATTTATCATTAAAATGTTTGTGTTCATAAATTATAAAACTTAAAAATAAAATACTTTTATTTATCATTAAAATGTTTGTGTTCATAAATTATAAAACTTAAAAATAAAATACTTTTATTTACATATGTTCGTCATTTATTGTCACTACGATGTGTTGATTTTATCTTTACGGTGGAAATGGTACAAAAAATTCAATAACCCGTATTCCAAGGTCGTATGAGCCAATAGAATGAGTAATCTAGCACGCATCTAGATGTTCTGCTTCTATTGAAATGTTCATCTGTTGATCCAATGTGGCATTACCTAATTTGAATTTTTACAATCTCAGTGTATATATATATATATATATGGGATTTTTACAAAAATCCCTTTATGGGATTTTTGGATAGCTCCCACACTGCCGCTTGCGGGACTCGATCCTTGGTCATCGGTCCAAGATTTCACGCTCTTGACCAACTGAGCTACCCATGCGGGCACTCAATGTGCATAGATCAATTTCATAATGTGTAGGCTCTAAGCATTTGTAAAAAAATAAATGAGCAAAATAAATTTTATTATGTACGCGGTGTAAATTAAAATGAAATATCCCAAAATGATAGTGACACTGTACTCCGGTGTCACTAGAACATCACTCATTAAATATATATACATAGTTATTCCAAATCTTTATTTTATTATGTTGGCCACATTCTTCATTTGGACTAAAGCCCAAATCTATTTCTCTACGATATTTATAGAATGGACACTCAGTTATTCCAACTCTAAATCTTCCCTTCTTCAGGGTTCTTCTCGCTTCAACATCGACTTCCTCAGGTATTGAAGCGCTCATTCTCCTATCTTCTTTCGAACAAAATTCATGCATTGTTTGTATTATCCAGACTTGAAAAGAAATTTGTTGGTGTTTTTATTTTTGCCGTCAATGAAGTCTTAGATTCATGTTCGCAATTGCAAACCTGAAACCCTAGCCATATATCGGTTTCAAAGGCCACTCTAAAGATCATATTTTTCACGTTTCGAGTGGGTGTTTGCTTTGCGTTGTTTTATTTTTTGTGTTTCAATTCAAGATTTTACATGTTTTTTTTGTAATAAATTTATGTTTTCAAAATCAAAGAGCTTGTGCTTTAATTTTATCTGAAGTATTGCAGAAGTGAATCTGCATCTTTTTATTGCTTAGTTTTACGCAGAGGTAGTAGGATTCCTGTTTTTAGAAAGGTCAATGTTTTTAGTCCAATGTATATAATGAGAGCACAAAACTATTTTCACATTTTTATTTTTATTTGAGTTTGGATGAATTTTAAAAAGACTCGTTTATCTTACTGCGAAGCACAAACTTAGATACAAGTGTTGTTATGCTTTATCTTTTTCTGTACTCTGTAAGCTCTACATTAGTATATGATTTGTACATCTCTATAGGTAGAACTCTATGTGAACAATGAAATTGTTTCTTGTTTGGATAAAGCTTGTTTATTTAGTTTGATTGCATTTTTTTACCGGAATTGTTCTGATGATTTCTTTCTGTGTTGGTTCCAGCTCATTTACTAACTTTTCCAGAACTCTGCAAGATGGGTTCCCGATTTTGGACTCAGGTTGGTCGTTTATGTAGATATATTACAACATGGTTATTCAATTATGCCACACTTTGAAAGTTTGTCGCACTCATTTGTTTATTCTAAATGCTCCAACTATGAGATTTTAAATAAGTATTTCAACTATTTTAACTTTGAGACGTCAACTATAAATATTTGAACGGAAATATTCAATACTGCCACACTTTGAGACTTTCAATAATTTCAACTTATATATGATTTCCCCTTTAATGCATATATTGTAGGGAGAAAGTGATACTGAAGAGGAGGTGAGTGATAATGAAGTTCTAGATGAACCAGTGAAGGCTGAACCTGCAGATAACAAATACCTCAGATCAGACTCTGACTCAGATAGTGATGATGCACGTCCCCGTCGCATTGTCAAAAAGTTTGACAAGCATTACGAGGAGATGTTGGCCACTCTTGATCAAATAAAGAATGCAATGAAAATCAATGACTGGGTCAGCCTGCAGGAGAGCTTTGACAAGATCAACAAGCAGCTCGAGAAGGTAATGCGTACAACAGATTCAGAGAAGGTATTGACTCTGTATGTAAAGGCTCTAGTTATGTTGGAGGACTTCCTTATCGAAGCCTTTGGGAATAAAGAAGCAAAGAAGAAGATGAGTAGTAGTAATGCCAAAGCCATGAATTCTATGAAACAAAAATTGAAGAAAAACAACAAGCAATACGAGGAGCTGATTGAAGCGTACAGAAAGAATCCACCAAAGAGTGAGGATGAGGGTGGTGTTGATGAATCTGAGGAAGAATCTGACGATGACGATGTTGATGATGATGACATTGAGGAGTACGAAACAAAAGCAGAGTCTGATGATGATGATGATGTCCATTCAACTGAGACTGGTGTGGGGTGGGAGAAAATGCTTAGCAAGAAAGACAAGCTTATGGATAAACAGTTCAAGGATCCCAGCCATATCACATGGGATATTGTCAACAAGAAATTCAGAGAAGTGTTTGCCGCAAGGGGCAGGAAGGGAACAGGAAGGCTCGAATTGGTTGAACAACTCACCTTCTTGACCAAAGTGGCTAAGACCCCTGCCCAAAAGCTTGAGATCCTTTTCAGTGTTGTCTCTGCCCAGTTTGATGTTAACCCAAGTCTAAGTGGACACTTGCCTATTAATGTGTGGAAAGCATGCGTGAGCAATACGCTTACCATTCTTGACATTCTTACCCAGTACCCGAACATTGTTGTTGATGACAAGATGGAACTCGATGAGAATGAGACACAGAAAGGAGCAGATTATAAAGGGAATATTAGGATCTGGGGGAACCTGGTAGCCTTTGTAGAAAAGATTGACGCAGAGTTCTTTAAAAGTCTGCAGGTTATTGATCCTCATACGCGTGAGTATGTCGAGAGACTTAAAGATGAACCTTTGTTTGTTGTTCTTGCACAAAATGTGCAGGAGTACTTGGAAAGGGTTGAGGATTACAAAGCTGCAGCAAAAGTGAGCCTTAAACGAGTTGAGCTCATATATTATAAACCACAAGAAGTGTATGATGCCATGAGGAAATGGGCTGAGCAGACCAGGAATGCCGAGGAAGAAGCGGAGTCTGAAGAGGGAAACAAGGGGGGTCCCCCTGCTATTGTTCCAACTCCCAAACTTGTTCCAAGAAAACCCACATTTGAAGAGAACAGTAGGACCTTGATGGATATCAATGTTTCTTTCATTTATAAGTACGGGGATGAGAGAACAAAAGCACGTGCTATGCTCTGTGATATTTACCACTATGCCATCTTGGACGAGTTTTCAGTTGCTCGGGACCTGCTGCTGATGAGTCACTTGCAGGATAACGTACAACATATGGACATTTCAACACAGATACTCTATAACAGAGCAATGGCTCAACTTGGTCTGTGTGCATTCAGGGCTGGACTAATTGCTGAGAGCCACAGTTGTCTCTCCGAGCTGTATTCTGCTGGCAGGGTAAAAGAATTGCTTGCACAAGGTGTCTCACAGAACCGATATCATGATAAGACCCCAGAACAGGCATGCCTTCTTTCCTCTTCTTGCTTTACTGATAAAACTTGTATAGGTGTACATTGTGCATAAGTGTAGAACTACCCAGGGGGGATTTTTAGATTCCTTCACTGCATAAATAAATTATTTAATGTTATATTTTTCAAGAAATTTTTTGTCGTTGCTCTAATATAATACTAGCATAATACGGAGTATTTTTTTAAATGTGAATGCACATTTTCATATTATCAGGAGATGATGGAGAGGAGGAGGCAAATCCCCTATCACATGCACATAAATCTTGAACTCCTTGAAGCTGTTCATCTCGTATGTGCAATGCTTTTGGAGGTTCCGAACATGGCTGCCAATAGCCACGATGCAAAGAGCAGAGTCATAAGCAGAACATTCAGGAGATTACTAGAGGCGAGTGAGAGGCAAACATTCACAGGCCCTCCTGAGAATGTCAGGGACCATGTAATGGCAGCCACTAGGGCCTTAAAACAGGGAGATTTTATCAAGGCATTTGAAGTCATTAACTCTCTCAATTTCTGGGGTCTTCTTCAGAACAAAAGCAATGTTCTCGAAATGCTCAGGGAAAAAATGAAGGAAGAAGCTTTGAGGACGTATCTCTTCACTTGTTCTTCCTCCTACAATTCACTCAGTCTGGGCCAACTGGCAAAGATGTTTGAGCTTTCTGATTCTAAGACCCATTCCATAGTGAGTAAGCTGATGATCACGAATGAACTCCATGCAAGCATAGACCAACCGACACGGTCTGTGGTGTTCCATGACCTTGAGTATACAAGGCTGCAGTCATTGGCTTTCCAGCTGACAGAGAAACTGTCAGTTCTTGCAGAAAGCAATGAGAGGGCAATTGAGGCAAAGATTGGTGGTGGGTTGGATGGTGTTTCCTTCAACAGGCGAAGGGAAGGGCAAGATTATGCCGCGGGGGCTGGTGGTGGTGGTGGCAGGTGGCCAGATTTCTCACAAGGCAGGCAAGGTGGTGGTGGTGGCAGAACAGGGGTGTATAACAGAGGTTTAGGTGGATCATCCAGCGGTGGCGGTCTGTTCTCCAGGGATAGACGTGGTTCAAGTGGCTATTCTGCTGGGAATCAAGGGTCACGGTACCCGGGTGGTGGTGGGTCCACAGCCAGGAGAAGCCAAGGCGATTCGTCTGCTCGGATGGTTAGCCTTAACCGGGGGATACGAGTTTAGACGAGCCTGGTTCACCCCCTTCCAGTCATGGCGCATTTTGTTGGCTTATTTTAGTAATTGCTTTCTTTTCTCATTATTTATTTCTTGATGCTAACCCACAGATATTTTGGTGATAGATTGGGATTTTGTTTTGTTCTTGAATGAGTCTGTGGATGCGTCTTGTTCTTTTACGGTCAAAAATAGAAATGGATTCACTTTCAATTGGAATCCTCATTGGCTTTATTATTATTATTATTATTATTATTATTATTATTATTATTATTATTATTATTATTATTATTATTATTATTATTATTATTATTATTATTATTATTATTATTATTACTATTACTATTATTATTATTATGTAAGACAAATCTAATGAAATTAATTTTGAATTAATATAAAATACTTGTATAATTCTTTTACAAGTAATGGTCACAATTAATATAAATTGACCGGAAAAAAATTAAACTACATGACTAGATTTGGATAGAAGAAACATTTTTTATGGAGTAATAAATTTTTAAATATAACAAAAAAACTATAAGCTCAAACACGGTAGATAATAATTAGTGTCATCTTGATGGACTTGTGTCATCACCATCATTTTTCCAATTCTCACTTCTAATTTAGCGTCATATCAATTTTCTCTATATCATATATATATTTCATCTCTAATCAGGGGTGTCCATCACATTTCGTCCTCGTTTATTTTTTTAATTTTGATTTCAAATATTACTTTTATTATATTTTATATAATTTGTGAAGTAAATTAAAATAAAAACTGAAATAAAAAATTAAGAAAACTGAAAATCGAAACTAGAAAATTAAAAGAATTAATATTGAAAGTTTTTAAGAAGAAGGAGCTTAGATCCGATTGAAATATTGAAGAACAAAACTTGATAATACTTCCTCCGTCCCAATTTATAATGCATGTTTACTATTTAAAGGGTGAAACTTTATTCACCTTTCTTCTCTATTTTCGTTAATAATTTGATAAAATAAAGTACCATTTGTCATATAAAATGATTTGAAAATAATTTCACTCAAACATCGCAACCTGAAACAGACACTATAAATTGGATCGGAGGAGTAGAAGCTAAAAAATAAAAGTAAACGAGTTAATAAAAAATAGGACAAAGAATCTGATATAAAGAAGATCAAGAGGCAAAACTGAAAAAAAGGGAGAAGAAACCGACGGAAGAAGGAAAAAAAGACTCAGACGAAGGATACACCAAAGCTACACCGCGCAGTCTAAAAAGTCAAGTCATGTCTAAACTGGTCAATGCTAGAAAAACAATATTTCTGACACAAATGTTGTTGAAGGCAAACAGATACACTGAAACACACATAAACTCACTCACAGTCTCGCAGATAGTTCTGCGCTATAAACTTACTTTAAAAAGAAAGGCGTGAAAGTATTGTTGGCATGGAAAGCTTACTCGTTTTTTGAAGGAAAAAATTGACGCTATCAAACGACTTTTTTGCTCCAAGCGGTCAAGCCTATAATTACTCCCATTTTTTTGCAGAGTGTACACATATAAATACATAAATTTGAACAGTAGTCATTTATTCAACACAAAATGTCAATTTACACGAAAGCTAACGATGGATGGATGGATTAAATTCCCAAAATGGTCCTAATCTGATCGGGTGGATGCCTTGCCAATGACTTGGGATCAGGGTAGCAGTTTTTCGGATCCATTATGGCCTTGTAAATGACCTCATATGCTTCAGCCAATGACCTAGCCACCCGTGCGCAAGCTTCTGATCGCAAACTCGGCACTTGCATCGCCTCAAATTCTGGCAGCACACACTCACTTCCCAGAACGAGCCCGAATAAAGCCTTGAGGCTCTCTGCAACAGCTGTGGGACCCATTTCCTCAAGCTCTGCCAATGGGGGCCCGTCGACTATGTTGCCCGATTCATCAATTTCAAATGACTTGAGGAAATGAGGCATCTTGTTTGACAAACCACATCTTCTGAGAATGGCATCCACTTCTTTTTCCACAAGGCCATGCATGTGCCCGTCTATCATCACACCCAGTTTGTTGACGTACTCAGACGCGACTTCATGTCCGAACAATGGTTGTTGGATGGCACATAAGCAGTTGATTAGGAATATTTTGGCTGGTCTTTCACTCTGCAAGAAGAAACAGAACTACAGGTTATGCAGGGAAATGTGTGTCCTTCGTTTATGTTGTTTATACATTTATCAGTTGTGTACTGTGTTTGAGTCTAATCTCATGAAGATTCTTTTGGGGTGAGTTAGACCCAATTTCAAATGGTACCAGAACTGGGCCCGACAGTGGTTCGTGGGAGCGGGTGCCAACTGAAAGTTTTAAGACAGCCTGTTTGAAGGTCAGCCTGAGACGGATATGGACCGACTTGGCCAAAGAATGTGTTGAGGGTGTTGTTTGATGGGGTTGAGTCTTCTAATAAAATAAGTGTAGGGTGAAGTCCAAAATAGATGGTCACAACAACAGACTATGAAGGACAAGCAGTGAGAGACCAATGTGACTTTTTGGAGCATTGTCCATACCCCATTACCCATGTGGATGGGGAGAAAGAGCAAAGGACGCTCTGAGATAATGTTGAGGATCCAAACCTGGGATGATGGTGTGGAACGGCCACTATCCACAAGGGCATCTATAGATGATCTACGGAATTGAATGGGATCAGAGCTGGTTCTATTTTTTCTCAAGGACTGAATGCCCCCCTTGGACTTGTGTGCCTCTGCGGCTTGCTCACAGATCTGCAGATAGTAAATAATTTTGAGATATGGGGCCATTAATATTAAAGATATAGTAGCAGGATCACTATGCCAGGTAAGGAAATAAGAATTAATTGAACCAGTTTATTGATAAAATGGTAAAGGAAGAAGAAGAAGAAGAGGATACCTGTATAATAGGATCTAAAAGAGCAGATATGACTGGAAGAAGAAGAAGAAGAAGAGGATACCTGTATAATAGGATCTAAAAGAGCAGATATGATTGGATCAAAGGAAGGCTTTTTCTCAGATAAAGGAATCATCATGCTATTATGTGTGTCAATTATTTCAAGCAGCAATGAGACTCCTTCCCTTACAGCTGGTGGTGGAGATAGATCAACAGCCACCAAGGGAGGATATCTTAAAAGTCTCTCTCCCCTAACCTTTAGTATCTCAAAGAATGTTTTGGAAGCTGCCTCTTTAAGAACCCAAAGTGTATTACATAACACTGTTTCTCTTCCTAGCAAGTCTGATATCTATAAGAGAGCAGAAAATTAAGAGAGAAAGAAATAACCCTTACAAGAGCACCATATAAATTGAAAAGTAGAATTCAACTCACCGTCCAGCTGTAGAACTCCAGGGTATTACTGAGTTTGTATGAAATGATAAGATTAGGCTGAGACTGCAAAACTTGTTCAACTCTTACTTTAAATGGCCGACAAACTCCTTCAAAGATCCTGTCTAGAACAAATGTTAGATCAGAATCCTTCTTTCCTGAATCTCCCTCTAGATTTCTTGAGAACTGATGTTGAGTTGACCCAGTATCAGCAGTTGCATCTGGTTCGAGCAATGCAAGGGCAAGTTCTCGTTCAGATGCCAGTGCCTTTGAAGGAAGGAAAATAAAAAGAAGCATAAATCAAGGACGTAGCACGTTGACCTTCATATGATAAATTAACATAGATGGTGAGTTTTTCTCCACCTGATGCAGCCATCCAAGCATGTCTCCTACATATCTTAGAGGATCATGAGCATGGACTTCGATCGGCCTAGGTAGTCCACCAGGTCCTCCGCGCGTGAGAGCACTTATAAATCTTCTAAACAAAGCATTGTGCCTCATGTTTGCAATCTTTTAAAGTTGTGATGTATCATGTAAGTACAGCTTGCAAAACGTGTAAGGGCTATCTTTATGCAGTCCAAATTTCTGTGTTTTCGTAATTGGATTTTTTAGCCATAATAGAAAAGTTACCTCTTCTGCACAATATTTGAAAAGGACAGGTCTTTCTTTGAGGCAGCGTACTGCATTTCTCAGAAGGTCACTAACTTCAGGGTTATCTATGTCCCCCAGCCTTCGGCACTCGGTTTGGACCCACCTAGAGGAGAGAAATAATCAACTCATTGTTTAATGGGTAAATTAGCAGTCAATTTCAATATAAAATAGGCCTTAAAGCACAAAGGATTATAATATAATGATAAAGAAGAAGAACGATAGCACACAATATCCTGATAGTTCATCAGCATTGAAATGTGTTATACTTCAAACGTAAAGCACCACTGAATTGATCTTAAAAGTAGAACCACAACAAGGAATACTTTGGCCTCGAATGATTTATTGAGTTCATTCTATTGCATGCTACCACCCGGCTGAATATGTCAATATGGGCAATAAAAAATAAAACATATTCTTGCATACAAAACTAAATCTAGAAAAGATTAGATTGATCTGGAGAATTTAAAACCTGCAAAGGCGTTCATATGCTCCTTCTTGATACATGGCCATCATATCCATTAGCTCTAAGCCAGCACGCTGTGAATGAATATCAACAACAACCCATTAGCTCTAAGCCAACACGCTGTGAATGAATATCGTTACATTCTATTATTAATTACTCCCCTTTTCCCAATTTGAACTCCTCATTTGCTTTTTCATGGAGTTTGAGAAAAAGTGAAATTGTGTGGTTAAGATTTATGCAGAGTAGAGAGAAATGAAGTGAACCATTTAATGTTTCCTTCAATAGAATGAGAAGTTTATTTTAGAACAACCTAGAAAGGAAAATGAGAAGTTTACTTTGAACCGGGTGGAGTACAATCTTAATAGATATGATAGAACTTGTGCAGAGAAATACAAAGAAACAAAACGACAAAATGGAGATGATTGGTCATGCATCACGTTTTGCACTTTTGGCAGATAAAATACTCCATATAGCATTAACCTTTTGTCTTTAATGGCTACATTGCACTGGGATCTTTGAGATGCTTATTGTCTATGTTGTTTTAAATTCATATTGTAGATTGAGTATAATGCTGAAATATCTGCAAAATAATAAAAAATACTAGTTTGAACCAGCCTAAAATTACATAGGAATACAGCTTAAGATTCAGTCATATGGGAATGAGATGTGGCAGATCTTTCTTTCTCCCTGATTGTCACGTGGGATTGGATTACTAGATGTTTGCGCTATACCGAGAACCATGTATTTCATATCCCATAATAATGTCTAAATATAGGTATTTGTGGAAAAATCAGTACTTCAAAATTATAGAAAATCAAATAGTTTGATATTAAATCACAAATTATAAAAATTATTTTATAAAAAAATCAGAAGACATTATGTGATAAGCGATATTGTTTTACATGCTTTGTGATATTTCTTGAAATCTTGTGATGGTTTTTATATTTCTTGATGTTTTACATTTTTCCCCAAGATTGTAAATATACTTTGTTACTCCCATATCAATATGACAATACCAGAGACCTCACAATACACATATTTAAAAAAAACAGATAGTTTCATCACTGTTTCTTACTACCTGTTTCGGTCGAAGGATTCTGCTAGACAATAGTAAAGAATTGAAGATTTGATGTTCACAGGTTCTCGTTCTTGCTCAAAAAACCTCAAATGGTGTTCAAGATGTCAAATATTTTATACTCTAAGATGTTGCAGAATGCAATTTTTTTCAATTTTTGTGGAGTGCTGCAACTTTGGGTTATACTTATAAATAAACTAGCCATCAATATTGAACACGTCTAACATCTCTGCAAACACTTAATTGTGCCGAAGAGCGGATTTTATGGACTTTTATAACACTATGTTACAACTTGTCAGTCAATGACAACTGAAGGAATCGTTACTCTTTGATGGTTTGTATATAGCTTCCTTTTTATTAAGTAGAGACATACACATGAAGGTCACCTGGTGATGAGTCCTAAGGAGCACTTTGCAATTTGCATGGATTTCTTGAACATGAGCAAGTGCCTTGAAGAAATTCTCATCAAGCTCTTCCTCTCTTAGTGCATTTATCTGCAGAAAGTAGAGGCACAATTCTTAACCCATATAGCAAGCATACATGGAATTTACTTGAAGGAATGAAATCAGTAGGAAGAGATATAAGATTAACTTATACCTCATCATTAGATAGCTGATAATCACGAAGAAAGCATGACACTATCTCTTGCCTCTGAGTAGTAATTTCAAGTTCCTGTTTTAGCCTTTCTGTGGTACTAATAATATCACCAGTGGTGGCATTGCAGGTGCTTAGAGCCAAAGCGATTCTGCACCAAAAATTGGGAAATTAATAAGTAAGACAAGATGAGACAATGCTTCCAAAAAGTAAACGAACATTCTATCTTTGCCAGCAATTACTGAAAACACAAGAAGACAGAAGAAACTTCATGAACCTAACCCTATGGGGCAAGGAAAACTTTTAGGTGCAAACGGATTTTTTACACACATCTCACACCATTATGAAACATGAGTAGGATCACTATGAAACATATGCAGTATGATTAGTTGATAATGAAGCATTCTGTTATTCCGTTCCGAGCTGGGGATCTCTTGGAATGAGCCTCGCTACTTTCGAATAGGGATAAGATCTAAGTACACACCCCACGCCATCCCCAAACCCTACCGTATGTGCATTGTTACTTTCGAATAGAGATAAGGTCTAAGTACACACCCTCCCCAAACCCTACCGTATGTGCATTGTTACTTTCGAATAGGGATGAGGTCCGAGTACACACCCTCCTCATACCCTACCGTATGTGCATTGTTACTGGGTTTGTAGTAGTAGTTGTTACACGGCATCCAGATTTTGAAATCTTAGTAGGACGATCATGAAGCAAAACAACGCCCAACAAAATTATTGATGAAGGCGGAAGACATTAACAAAGAAAGGGCAATGTCAAATTGTTATGCAAATGGTTTCTAAATTTACACATCATAGCTACTTCTGACATCCACTTTTCCTTGATTCAACTCCTGATGCAGAAACAATACTAATAGCCTAAATTTGAAATACAAAATTCAATTCAATTCTCGAGTAAAAGGACCAATGGCGCTATAATGTATATGATCTAGAAAAATTGTTAGTCATGACTGAGTAACATAGAAATTCACAAAAACGAGAAATATGAAAGCAAATGTTACTTGTCACAGCATTCCGCTAGTGCACTGACTTCTTCTTCGACGTGATCCAATGCCTGAACCGATCCAAAATTTGAAAGATAAAAACAATACGAAATATAAAAGTCAGCGATGGGAAGAATTTGGCAAGATGGAGAAGGAGAATTGCCTTCTGAGCAGCAGAGGAGGCGAGGAGGAACTCTTGGTTGATGGAGAGAGATCGCTTCTCGATGGTGGATCTGAGGTTCCGGCGGGCGTGAGGTGTGTTTTCGGCATAGAAATCGGAGAGGGTTTTGAGAGAAGCCAGCAGATCCGGCGTGTCTGTACGGGTGTCCAATACTTTCTTCAGCTTCCGGGATAGCCCCGGCGCCAATGCCGTTGCCGTTCCCATTCTTCACCGCTTTCTCTGCAATGCAATTCTGTATTACTTAACCTGAACACGATCGTATGTTTGATCAGAAATGCTACAGCGGTTTCTTCTTCCCCGTCGTTTTTCTTTATCTCTGTGCTTGCAATGATAACAGAACTGAACTACTCAAATGATCGGAAAGCCCATTCTATAGTCCAATGGACTTCACCATATCATACGCAACAGGCGTATCTCGAATATTGTACGTTACTACCTTCCTTTGTGTCTAATTTGGTTTAAGGATAAATCTCCCGGATGATCTTTTAGATTGATAATAAAGGGTTAAACTTGTATCTGTTATTCGCAGAAATCTTTATTCTAGGTAAATTGACTTTCAAGAAATCATCAGACCTTGGTATCATTAAAATATGGGGTCAGTCTTTACATATTGAACATGTTGGCATTAAAATGATTTGATGGTAGAATTGGGTATCTAGGATGTTTGATTGATAAAATTGATGATTTTGTATTTCTAAAAAACCTCCCTCGCCCCCTGCATCCTAGTCCCCCTTCCTTGATTGCTGATTTAGAAGTGTCGAAGCTACGGATGACAACGGGTTGGGTTCAGGTAGAATAATACTATACTCGAACCTGACCCGACTTTTAAAACCGGAACTCGAACCCGACCCGAAACCCTACTTTTTAAGCCAAAAGCTCGACCCGACCCGAATCCAACATTTAAACCCGAACCTGAATCCGTAATTTAACAAATAATCAATTTGACGTACCCCAATAATTTAAAAAGATTAAATCTAATTTTTTTGTCTCTATTTCTTGTGTCTAATTTTTTATTAAGGAATTATAAAAATAATTATGAAAGACATACTTGATATAGTAACAATTTGTTAAGAAATTATACGGAGTGCTCATTATATTCATAGATAGGCTTTTATATTATAAAATATTCGGGATTGAGTCGGGTCGGATGCGGGTTCGGGTGTGGGTCGGGTCAAATTATAAACTCACACCCGACCCGACCCGACCCGACCCAATGTCGGGTTTGAGTAAAAATTTCGGATCGTGTTTGGATTATTTTGTTCTCGGTTCGGGTTCAGATATTTTAGTGGTCGGTCGAGTCGGTTAAGATCGAGTTTGGGTTGAAATGTCATCCCTAGTCGAAGCTAGTGTTGCTTCGTTTGTTGGCTCCAGCACACATCCTCTTAGTCAAGCAACTCTAATAGCTCTGAATTGGCCTCATTAAATTTCTTCAACCCCACATCATCCCGCTTATCACTCTATTTCTCCACTGATTTCCACACCTCCATGATATGTTTGCCAAATTTATGAAATTTGTCGCCACCACATCTCCAAATGCTTCTTGCACACCTCGAGATTATCAAAAAAGAAGATGTTGTGAAATGCCAAACTCCAAAGATAACACCTTTAAACCTCAAATCTCCAAGCCAGACATGTTTTAATCAAAATTGGTTAGTACTCTAAGACGATCATAAACAACAAATGCCCATAAATAATATAAAATGATCCGATCTACACATATACCGATTATACAAACAAGCTCCAGAGAACAACCTCATCCACTCAAAAGAATCCACCGCACAGTTGAACTTCTCTTCAACCTGCAACAACTTCCTCCGACACTTTTCTCATCCAAAAGGATAGCCTCTCATCACAATATCAAAAAGGTTACAAGCATATAGTGTTGCATTGAATCCACAATTTAATGCGAGGGGATGGGGATTTCCTTCCCATTTTTCAGAAGAGCCACACAGATCATAAGAATTTCCTATGGAAAGCCAAGAAAGTGGAGATCGATTTTCCCTTCAAAAGGTGTAGTAAATCTCAAGAAGCCTACCGATGATTGCTATGAGGATCACCAATTTACCATAAAAAATAAAGTGTCTCCAGAAAAACAAGTTCAAAGAGTAATAAGGATATTAATATGTATGCGAGAGTAATGAAACTAATTAAATTTGACATCCTGTTAGTCATCCATAACATTGCCAAACCCCCCACCTTGACAAACCCATATCCAAATCTTCACACACAAAAATGACAAAACCTCCACCACACTACGGGCTCCTTTTGTCTCCATTAAAAAACATAAATTCCATTTTTTTGAAAAAAATCACCTTAGTAATTTTTTGAATTGTTTTCTGGTTGCCCAACTCATGACAATTCCAATTATTCATACTCATTGATCCGCGGCAGTGAAACAAACATCAAACAACGCTCAATAGTCCTTGTCGCCGATCCTAGCTAATTTCAAACACTACCTACTTTTGCTTCAGTCCTTATTTATCTCAAAAAATATAAAGTGAAAATATAATTTTTTAAGCATCTCATCACTATTACATATTTGTGACTTGCTCGATCAATTTTTTCATAACAGCTCAAGTGGGTTACTTTATAGTCTATCTAGCATAATTAATATCACAATCATTTTGAGTCGTGCTAGAAAGCTTCCAAGCTTGACACCAAAAGTTGATACCGAGTATTTCACACACATATAAAGATAGCTATTGTCTGTGATACACTAGAACACACTCACATGTCTGGGAAATACTTCGTGTCACGCTTTTGGTGTCAAACTTAGTGGGTTTTTAGCATTTTTCTTCATGAATTAGTTCTTTATCTCTGACTCATGTTTACACCAAAAACATTAAAAAGAGTGAAATAATTTACTACACAGTGGTTGTAAAGAATAATACAGAGTTGATAGTTGTAAAAATACTATGCATTGAGTTAAATTAGTGCGACCTTAAATCCTATAGAGATACAACAAGAGTACATAAATACGAATTATCCAGGGATATAATATATTGATGATTAATTATATATGTACGAATGGCAATAATGTGTAAATTCTTATACACACACACATGTTGGGATATAAATAGATCGACCTGCACATGTAAGGGTTAGCTCGCCCTTAAAAATGGGCGGATATAGACATCAATAAATGTGTATATGGGTGGGCCTTGCCTGACCCATTTTCTATATGGGCGGATCTAGGATTTAGAGCTAGCCCATTCGGGCTAGCAAGCCCGCTCACTTTTTAATACTTCGTAATAAAGTACTCCCTTGAATAGGCCCAATTGACCAATAGACCAATACATATAATATCCCTTACATCCTTTTCGTAAATCGATGGTGCACTTTGGAGTCTAAAATTCGACTATTTTCTTTTGTTTGTGAATTATGCATATAGGCTTTAGCTATTATGCATTTTACCATTGCACTTGTATTTTAGTCTATTACACACTTTGTTTTAGTTTTTAATTTACATTGACCTAGAACAAGCTTTATTTTTGTTGTAATGTGTTTTTTGGCATGGGCCTATCTGGTTATGCAAGACTAAATTTTAATGGCAGTGACATTGTTTTAGCACATATTTCTATATACGTTTGACTGGTTTTGAACTTATTTTTGGGTCGGGCAGCTTGATGGACTCTCCGACCCGCCTAAGTGGGTGGATATGGGCATCACTTTCAGCCCTTGTGATCCGGGTCAGGTCAGGTCTGTCCAAAAATGGACCTTAAATCAATGATAGGCCCATCTCAGATCGAGCCTAGATTTGTGTTTGTGCAGGTCTAGATACAAACCAATCTCACACCAGAGGTTTAAAAGAAAATGAACCAAAACATAATGTTTACCTGAACCCCATTAGTATGAGGCCTTTTGGGAGGTTTCCAAAAACAAATTCGTGAGAGCTTGGCCCAAAGCAGACAATATCATACTAATGTGACGTTTGTGTAAAAACACGTGCTATCCCAACATGTAGCATCAGAGCCCAGATTTGTGCAGGCAGAAGTGGGGGACTGCGGGAGCATTTCGTTCAACTTATTTTTTAAGCTTATTACTTATTCTAATTATAATCATATCAGACTAGATCAGATCAGATCAGACCAGATCAGTAAAAGCTTTAATTATAATCGCAATGAGATCACATCAGACAAGATCAAACTAGACCAGATCAGGTCTTCAAAAAATCAGATCAGGTAAACGGAAGCGGCACACATTGTGCGGATTTTTTGGTGTGCCTGGTGTCGAAAGTCTTCTTGACAAGTGGTGGTCATGTTGTGTGTCCCGTTTGGTGTTAACGATGGTACACAATGATTTGGTAGATCAAATTATCATGTGACCTTAATGGATTGGTGGTCTGTAGTTTACCTTGTGTCGAAAGTCTCCCCGGTAAGAGGAGGACAAGTGGCGTAGCGCGCATGTGTGTAGCGGCAGTGCAAGGTGGTTTGCAGATTAGAAACAGATAATCGTTAGAGGGGAGGTCACGAGATTATGTGGTCTTGGTTTGAGGGGAGGTTTGTTGGAATACAAACCAATCCCACCATAGAGTTTAAAAGAGAATGAACCAAAATATAAGTGTTATACCAAGTCCATTAGTATGAGACATTTTGGGAGGTGACCAAAATTAAATTCGTGAGGGCTTGGTCCAAAATGGATAATATCATACTAATGCGAGTTTGGGTGAAGGCACGCGCGGTCCCAGCAACAGGATGTATTCATCTATCTCTGAACACACATTGAGTTCAAGTACAGTTATATCATGTGTACGTATATATTTACAAAATGGTTGTCATCCATAACGAGAAAGTTGATATTATTTTATGATTTTTATTTTTTGAACATTGGGTACCAATCATTTGGCATAAAGTCGGACTCATTGTTGTGCCAACTCTTGAACATTCATGGGATAACAAAGAGAAGGTGGCCCTGAATATGCATTCTCAGCAAGAATCTGGTTAACCGCTTGTGTTGGATGAAAAGAATCCCAGAAAATATACTTTGTCCTGTCTGGACATGGGACAGAAAATGGAAGACAAGTTATTTGTAGCTTTGAAATCCCACAACATCCTTGGTCTTTCACCACAAATCCTATGCCATCAAAACCAAAATATAATTAGATTTTTTATCATATCTAGTTACAAATTAGTTATATACTCCTTTGTCCCTAATCCCTATATAGTTGAAATTTTTACAAAAGAGAAAAATAATTTAATTTAAATTTGTACCATATGTAGATGCGTTTGTGATTATGTTGCTAAACGCAAGGAAAGTGTTTCCGTAAACGAAGACCGAGGGGACTAAATCTCGATTGAGTTGGTCAATGAGATCCCTCAATCGGGAATTGAAGAGTTCCACCATGTCGTTTACATGCGACACGCATTGCCCTTGTGGGGCTGCCTGAGTGGCCAACTGGTTCGGAATGCAACCCAGCGGTCCAATGCCACCCAGAAGGAACTTTCGAAGGCCTAAGCCATGCAGTACCTGTATGACACCACAATTAAGGACAAAAACATATTTCATATAAAAATATATTGTATTTATATATGAACAAATATAATAAATGAGTTATATATACTGTGAGTTGCTTGGAGAAGTGTTCGATAAGAAGATCAGCAAAGTTTGTGGGATTGTAAGTGTAGCTAGTGGAGTAAAGGGATGGAAGAAGATAATTATTAACGTAGTCATTGCTGCCAATGGAGATAACAACTAAGGACTTGTTCAAATAACCAATGAGTTCTTCCTCCCTCATCTCTTTTTGTAATTGATATTTCAAAGTCATCTGAAAATTTTCAATTTGCTGGGAGAAGGTAAATCTATCACCCTGCATGCATGCATGTATGAAACAAATTAAAAAACAAAAAATGTTGCAAAATAGAGAATGTATAACTGAAAAAATACTAGTAAGTACAAAAGTTCGGCCAGTCTCATTAAGGATTCCGGCTGCAGCAGAAGCGTAATTTATTCCTTTAAGAACATTTTTTCCTGTTGCAGATGGATCTGCATAGGCTGGAAGAACAGGAAGCTCTAACAAATCCCCTAAAATCAAATATTGAGGTCGGTCATGAAAGAAATTAACAACTTGTCATGCAAAATAATTATGCAATAATAAGAATATTCTAAATGTTACATCAGTACGTGCATTGTTGCACTACTTTACAGATTTCGAGAATAACACATTCTAGGTTTCCAATCTCTTTGACACTTGCTATCATGCAAGAAGCTAGCCTTAACGTAGAATTTATCTAACAAAGAAGTATTATCATATTGGATGAAACATACTGAGTAATGAAAAATAAATTTGCTTTTGAGATATTGGATTGTACATTGAAAGATCACATGAGATTTCCAAATTAATACTTCAAAAAATAATGAACCATTTGGCAAAACAAAACTTTTATCCACTAGGGAGACTTTTGTCTTATATTTTCTATTATCTGAAGAGATTCCAAAGTGGAAGTGAGTTTATTGCGCTACCATCAAGTCAGTGAATTTGTGGTTTCATTATAAAATTTTTAATAAGTTGACAAAGAACATGATGTTACAATCACCAATATCGATATCCTTAGAGAGAAACAAGCTCAATTTTCATTTAATTAGATAAAAAAATCAGAAACCAAATGGATGAAGATGAAGTATCAACCACAATAATATGAATTAATAAAGAATAATATGTCTTAGCTGGTACTGATCTTTTCAAAATACTTGGCTTGATTAAATGAACGAAATCTCAAAAAAAACATAGACGATGATACTCGGATGATTGATGAATCGAGTGATGAATTGAGTCAAATGTGGGTGAACATTTTACTCACCCCTCATCTATTCCATCGTTCGCTCCACTTGCCCATCCATATATTTTTGTTAAATTTTTATTAGTTATTCCAAAGTACTATTCCATAAATGTAAAGTAGAATAAGCATTCTTCTTTTGCACAAAAATCTTAATGACGAATAATTTAATTGAACACGTTGTTCTCAAACAAAGTCATAATAAATGCACAAATTAATTGCATAAGTTAGTTACTATTATTTGTTTAATCATCATAAGTTGAACCATATTTTCTTTCGTGTATTTTTTTTGTTCATTTTATGAAATTGTTTATTCTTTTATTTTTCTTTTAAAGGAAAGAATAAATTGCTCTCAATATTTTTTTCTTCATAATAAGTTCTGAACATTTTATTGAGCTCATCGAAAGTCAAACCTATAAGTTTTTATTTAATATATGCTTTATTAGGAAATTAAAATAAATAAAACTATATCATAAAATCAAAATTATACTACTTTCGTTTCTGAGTATTTGTCCAATTTTGAATCGGTTATGACAAATTGTATTAAAAAGAAGTTAAATCAAAGTCAAATAGATGATTTAAATAAGAAAGGTAAGTTACCAAGAAAATCAACGATGGTTTTGCCGTTAGAGAAACTGCCGGTGGGGCCTCGGAAATCGAGACCATATGGCACATAATTAGCTTTCGCCAAGGAATCGACCAGGTAGTTATTGTTCCCGGCGTCCACCAACGAATCTCCGAACACAAACATGGCGTCGAATTGCTGCCCGGCGGCGGCCCAGCCCAACACGGCGGCCACCACCGCCACTGCCGCCGTCATCATCCCTATCCGCCGCCGATTCTCCATCAATCCTAACAACTTTTGCGTACCCAGTATTTAATTTATGCTTTATTAATTTATAAGAAAGCAGACGTATTATAATTAATAATACGTACTCTCTATATAACAACAACATAGTCCGTATAATTACATTAACCGGCCGGCAAGAAAATTGCGCATGAAGTCTTGCTTTTGTGACGAATGTTTTTATTAAAAAATGATCTTTTTTCCAGGCATTCTTGCATGCTTTTTTGGTCTCTTTTCCATACACAATCAAACTTCTTCGCTTCTTTACGTATCTAGTACGACTTTTGGTAGCATATATTATGTTGCTCCCTCTCAACTTGCTGCTTTATTATTTACGGAATTAAAATTCAATCACTTTCATTATCTGTTTTCAGTATTTATTTGATAAATTGATATAAGTATTCACTTCTTGCTTTATATTTCATTCGTTCCATAAAAGTTTTTCGGTTTTGACGATAAATAAAATAGATCTTTTTAATTATTGTGGTGATGACATATAAGTAACATGCTATTTCCTTACATTATATCTGATTCAAGGACTTTAGAAAGAATCCAAAAGGATATTATCTCATTTTTCACCAAAATATAAAATATTGGTTTCTCCCTTTTTAGTACTCCAAAAGGAGTATATTTTGCCTTTTTATTTTGGTCCTTTAATGGGTATTTTTCACAAATATTACACTTTTAGCCTTCAAATTAATCTCAACATGACAGAAGATAAAAAAGACTATTTGTAGAAAGATACTTATAACCAGTGAGACGATATTTGATAATAGAGAATTGAGTAGAGAAAATCCCTTTTTATAAAAGACCAAATATGAATTTTCTCTTATTTTTATTATATTTTGTATGAAACCTTTCATTCTCCAACTCTTTTACCAATATACAGAGTATATACCACCTTTGTAAAATATTTTTCTTAATATGCATATTTATTTTATTATGAAAAAAACAAATTCAAAAATAGAAAAATAAAGAAGCCATAAAAACAAAAGTGGAAAAGGAAAAAAAATTGTAGACGGTTATACTCAGAGCGACCAAGTCTATCTAACTTGTACAACCAGGTGTTGTTTTAGTGTGGAGTCCAACTTTCAAAACAAGAAAAATCATATCACATTAGAAACTTAGATATAGGAGATTGAATTAGAACATATCAGAAACAAATTTAGTGTAATTGATTAAATTAGACTGATAAAAAAATCAAATGAGATAGGAAATATTTCTATTTGAATTAAATCAGATCAAACTTTAATAATTTTGAATCAAAATTAATAAAAGAAAACTGACCGTACTCCAAGTAATGAACCCCTTGTTTCTCAGCTCGAGCTTGACTCACGAGCCGGGTCCGGTTGGAGGCTGGTGGTTCAGCGGCTTCGGCCACATTTTAAGATTTGCCCATTTCAGTTCTTACCGTGTAGAATTCGGATCCAGTTCCGACCCGACCCGGCTTTGCTCGCTTCCCCTCTCTGTTTGCACCAAACCCCCCCGTAGCAATCGACGGCCTGGATTCGCCGACCATAGTCTCCGACAGACGACGTCATTTCCCGGCCATACGTTCCATCTAAACACACTCACATGTATACCTATATCTAGGTCGGGTTTCTGAGGACCAGTCGATGTTGATGGCCTCTTCAGACGAAGAAGATGAATCCCTCGCCCAATTCCTCGAATCAGAGGTCCTTGCGTTCTCCGACCAGGTAAAGTATTCGATAATTTTGTTTTAATTTCATTAAAAGATTCAGTTTTTATGTACCTGTGTACATCGGGATGCATGCTCGTTTTTTCATATGCAAGATAATCTATACTCCGTATTACCTTTTTATCCCTTGTATAAAAATTCTAGGGTTTTTTTCTTTTCAGACTTTTGGCACTAATTCTTTTTTGTACAAATGAATTTGAAAATAGTGAAGTTTACTGGTTTTTTTCTCCGGGTTAAGTACAAGAAATTATAGATTATACTTTTTAATGTGGCATGTTAATGAACAAAATAAGTACTACATTTTCTTTTTTTTGTTGTGTCAAGTTTTATATTTTTAGCTGCCTGCTCTGCATCCTGTGCCTTTTTGTGAGCCCTATTTGTTTTAATTTATAATTATGTTACGGAATACTCAGTTATTATTGAAAGTTTAAGCAAACATCACTTCAGGATGAAGGAGTTGAGGAGGAGGAAGAAGAAAGAGCCTTTAAGAAAATGAGGTTTGCAAAAGATGAGGATGAGATAGAGGGAATGGAGAAGTATAAGCTTGAGGAGGAACATAAGAAAGTAGCAAAAAGAATTATTGTTGAAGAGGCTGGACAAGTAGAATCGGTATTGTCATCTCCATTGTCAAGTGGATCATTGGAGATGAACAATACATATAATAAAGAAAGAAAAAGCAGTGCTAGCAGATGCAATGCTCTTTGGGCTCTCAGGTGGATGGAAACCGGTGTTTTTTGCAAAATACCTCCTGAATGTCTTCATCACATACTTAAATTCCTTTCCTCAGAGGTATTATTGTTGTTGCTGTTGTTAGTATCATTGTTGAAAGAAAAATGAATTATATCTTTCTTTTTTTGGTTCTGATATGTATTTATGCACTAATACACTCACATGCAAATTATAAATTCTTGCTCATTGAGGAGTGCATCTAAACAATGATGACAGGATCTTATTGCTTGTTCTCTCTCCTGTAAATTCTTGAATTATGCTGCATCTGATGAATCATTGTGGCGTCGACTGTAAGGCTTTCTTTCTTTTTCTTTTTGTATCTTCATCTCTCTGTTCTTTCCACTCTCAACATCGATTGTGTACAAACATCTTGATATAGGCTTATCAATGTTCAGTTCTTTTTGTTGTAAAACTTTGGTACTTGTGGTTAATGGTGTTTATTAAGGTCAAATGTCATATTACACTGTAATTGGAGCCTTTGAGGTTACAAAAACACTTAATTTTGAGAATGAAATAAAAACAAATCAAAGCGCCCATTTATCCCATTCTCCCATTTGTCAATTTCCCCTTACACTCTATGAATACTTTTTATGCAGTTATTGTATGAGGTGGGGTCTCCTTCCACCAAATAGACCACGGGAATGTGCTTGGAAGTTGATGTACATTCAGGTGTGTGTTTAATGTTTAGTCACTTTAGTACAATAGTACTCAATGCATTTGTTCAGTTTATCAATGTGTTGTGGAAGAAATAGATTTGATTAAAAACTTGGCTATTCCTGCAGCGAGATACGGATGACATGGCTGAGTTTGTTAAGCACTGTCCATCTGAATTCAAACAATATTACATCCAAATGCAAGCAGCAAAAAGAAGTCAAGCTCCTCTTCTTTCACAGGTAAATTAAATACTTAAATACTCCGTATAATGTTTGTTTACACTTCTCAGTTCTCTTCGAAAAATGAATCAGAGAAAAATTCAGAAAATTCAAGAACGCCTCTTAACTGTTTGAGCAATAAATTTTTAACTCAAGAATTCCTGTTGGGCTCCTTTTGGGGGGGGGGGGTCGAGATGACACACCTTACTCCTTTATAAACCAGGGAGGTTGTTTCTGTTAGTCCGTGACGCGTTTACAGATTTACTGCCCAAAACTTCATAAAAAGTAAAGCAAGGAAAGTTTAACATGTCATTTCCCATTACTTGCCCGAAGCTAAAACACCGTAAAATGACTCTTTTTTATCAATTGGCAATGTTACAATGTACGTAAAGTACATGAACTCCTGAATTCTACTCCCTCTGTTTCACAAAAACACTTACGCCCTAATTTTTTGTGCACCCCATAAAACACTTCTACTCCACCTAAAAACGTCTAAAATACCCTCAAAACAACTTCTACCCGCAATAGACTACGAAATGGGGGTGTATTTTAGACATTTTAAGTTGGGTAGAAGTGTTTTGAGGGATGCGCAAAAAATTAGGGCGGAAGTGTTTTGTGAAACGGAGGGAGTAATAAATAAATTTGTAACTCCTAAACCTTGAAAAGTTGGTTCTAGCTGGGGTGACAATTCATCTGGTTTGAAAATATCCCCCTTCTTAATCCAATCAAATTCGGAGTAATTATTAACTGGTGGGCTTTAACACCTTCTTATCAATGGTAAAAGTCTCATGTTGAGTGCCTCTCCTCCTCATCATATCAACGCTTTAATCCAACCTAATTCGAGTCACGTTGTTTGCTGTATCTATATATATTTTAATTTATAATGTGCACTGTGCAGGTCAACGATGATCATATAATACTTGACAAGACTGTTGCTGACCAAATCTCCATTTGGAAGAAAAACAAAGGATTTAGTGATGAAGTGTTTTCAGATCATGCTTGCTCTGGGGAGACATGCACTTACTATCAAATTAATGATGTGTTTGTTTGTGAGAATACTGGACATGTGCATGGTATGAATTGCCTTTATGGGCATACTTTTTTTATTATTAGGATTAATTCCTATAAGGAAACGTAAGGTCATGCATACAAACCTGAGATTACATTTATTTGTTACAACAACCCAATAGAGTCTCACAAATGGGGTTACTTAGAAAAGGTATAGAGGCTTTACATTAATTTGTTTAGTTTGCAGAATTTGTAATAGTCTAAAATATTGTGGAGTACTAAGGTAATCTTACAAGTTACAATGCCTAAGAAAATCCAAGCATGATGGTAGTAATATTATATTACTGATCTAATGTGATTACCTTAACCAAACCAGGTCATGTTACATTCCGTTGAGTGCATATAAAAATTGAATATGCAGCTCTGTTTTTGAAGTGTCTATTAATGTGGTGCTTTTTATACTGTCTTCATGCAGTATGTGATGATGCATGCAAAGAAGTCGTTCTTGATCCAACAAATGAACTCTTGGTGTGCACGATTTCAGGTCACTGCTTTGACAGAATGTTGTCACCATCAGAAATAGAAGCAGATGCGGTAAGACTGTTTTACCCTCCTCCCATCGATTATTAATATTCTCCACTTTGATAATGATATGCAGTATACTGTACAGCAAAACATATTTTTAGACAAATCAGCACAATCACTCCGTTCACCAATTTCAGACACTAACAGCAAGAATCATATCTTGTGATGTACAAATCTCTCAACTTGATTGCGACTCCATGAGTTATTTCAACTTAGTTTCTATCTCCTTTTCCCCCAAAAAAATTTAGGAGCTGCAGCAGGCCAGTGGGATTGATGAAGCAGAACCATTCATGGGATCTGGTCGATTCGGTAGGGGTTTGTCCTTCATTTCATTTTCAGTCTGCTATCCTCCACCTCCAATATATATGCCCACATACATACATACACACATATGTGGATATCTATATATTGCGGTATAATTTAGTGTTGTATTTCGACTTTTCAGCACGAGCTTATTCGCTGGGTTACAACTGTGATGATGAGAAGGAACTTGAAGCTGCTTTGAGGTTCTGCTGAATGGGGAGTATATTGATTGTATGTATAGTTCTGTATCAACTTTGGGACACTGAACCGTAGCGACGGATAGGGGAGAGTTGGTCCTCTATGAGACTGGCTGGACCGCGACAGAGTGATGTTCCAATAATGGTGTTTACTCATAGTTATTGTTATTATGACTTCCTAATAAAAACAATTTATCAATTACCCAAAATCTTTGTTAGTTGTACTCTGTAGTAGGCAATGTAGTATGATTGGCTTTTATTGTAAGTTTGATTTTCACTGGTATTGCATTTTCATATTAGATTTCACCCATTGAGTAGACACATTGAAAAGAGGAAAGAATAGTAACACATCACACAACACCCTTGGATCATACCGGATCTTAGGCAGCATTTCGTTCAACTTAACGGCGTGAAACCAAGCAACCTCCAAAAGAAAACAAACCCTAAAACACAGAACCCGAACCAATGAGTACCAGGTCCAAAACCAGAAACCCTAATCGCCAAGTTCACCTAAAACCGACCGAACAGCCCCTGACCAGATCCGAACCAGCCTCTGATCAGATCCGAACCAGCCTCTGATCAGATCCGAACCAGCCCCTGATCAGATCCGAACCAGCCCCTTAACCGCGGCAGCAAAAACAATCTTGAATAGCCTTCTTCCTGCGATTGATCCTGTGTAACCGTGTGTTTAACCGAACCAAGGCTCTGATACCACTTGTTAGGAATCAGAGATCAGAGGTGGTCAAGCGGAAGCGAACAAACACACACACACAAATAGCAGAAAATAAGAACACGAGATTTAACGTGGTTCAGTCAGTAACCTACTCCACGGGTTGCAACTAGGGTTTATCTTTTATTAGGTGCTCACAGATTATAGTTACATGATTGGGTATTTATAAGATATAAACTAGGGTTAACAACTTGCTAAACAAGAAACAACTAATGGGCCCTTTAATTAATAACTGAAACCGCCCCCCCATGTTTCTTCCCTTTAACCGACCGGGCTTAAAGCCCAAAGCTCTAAAGCCTTCACCGAATAACCCAACAGATATACTATGTTTGTTTTAGTTTCATAGAATCTGGAGTTTCTCTTTGCATGACGTGGTTAAATGTCTATTCCTAAATGTATATTTTCCTGTTCTATGGTTCATTAGTAGTAATATGTATGATGTGCTTAGTATCAGTCTATTAGATGAAAACTCAAATATTTGCAGAAAGGGTAGTTTTCTTAGAAGATAAATTTATTTTTGAAGGATGATGTAGTTAATACTTAAGAATACACGGATTTGAACTTTATTCTATTTTAAAGATGTTTTGGAAGAAGACAATGAGGAAAATGCTTTGAATCTCATTCCATGCTCACACTGAAAACAATCACTTCTTTTAACATCATAATCTTATTTAATATCTAATAGGCACTTTCTGTGTAGGTACTTTGAAAAATGGGAGGAGGAAATGATCATCAACATGATGAACATGAGAAGGGATTGTTTTCTAATCATCATCAACCACCACCAGCAGGTTATCCTCCCAGTGCATATCCACCAGCAGGTTATCCTCCCAATGCATATCCACCAGCAGGTTATCCTCCCAATGTAAATCCACAAGCATATCCTCCTGCTCCTTATCCTGGTGGTCCCTATGCTCCGCACCACTCAGGTAACTTTTTTGTATCTTTAATTGTTTTCTTTTTCAATCTGATACCTACCGTTGAGGCTTAAACGTCATGTCTTCATACATGGAAGACTTTGTTCCTTTCATGCCCTTCTTACTGCTCCATTACCAATTTATCTATTTGTGTTGACCATGCTGGCGAGTGTCTCTGAACTGGCGGGTATCGGGTGCCATGAGGAGTATACCCGAGTTAAAATCCTAACAACTGCGTTTTGGAGATAATCACACAAAATTTTAGGTCTCCACAAGTACTAGGTACAGTACTCCACTCCGTTTCAGTTGGATTGGAATCAGAGCTCATCTTACATCCTTCCACTCTTTGAGATAATTGCATGGCCAGAGGACCTATGAGATGGAGTTCATCCTTTTTTCTATTTACGTTGACCAAATCACATTATCAATAAAAAAATAATAGTTCATCTTGAATAGCTGAATGTCACTATTAAAAAAACATCACACTTAACTTATTTAGACGTCCCCAAAAAACTTCACAGTTTCATTTTTCCTTTTAAAGAAAGGAATATGTGGCTCACAAAAAGTCTCTTCTAAACAAATTTTGATCACACCCTTTTTACTTTTTGACATTTTTCCTAAACTCCATGAAGTTATTTAGTTAATGAGTGAAGCTCTTTATGGGAAGCAGGGAGTATGTTTTTGGGGAAAATGGTGAATTGAAAATTTCAAGGGTCAGTTGGGGAAAAATAATGAATGTGCATCGATGAACAAATAAAAAGTACCCATATTTCCCTTTCTAATGTCTTGCTTTAAGTTTGCATGATCTGTAATTAATTGGATACTGTGTGGTTGAAATTTGTTTAGGCAAGAGGAACCATAATAACCATACAATCTTTTCTTAAAAAGGAAAAGATGAATAAATTTTGGGACGAAAGAAAAAAAGATAAGAATGAAGATAAAGTTGTTAGAGAGTCCATAAAAAGAAAAATTGGTGAACCTAGATAGATGGAGTACTCCAATCTTTGTATTTATTCATCGTCATTTATCATAAACACAATATTTTCAATTTATGAGTGTATGAAAACGCTGAACAATAAAAAAACATTTATGAGATCTTTCATCCTTATCATAGGGTTGTACTAATCTTGATGGTTTCATACACAGGCCAGTCAGGGCATGGCATTGGGCCAATGCTAGCTGGAGGAGCGGCAACTGGCGTACTAGGTGCCGTTGTTGGTTATGCTGCTGGTCACCTGTCACAAGGAGGAGGAGGAGCTGGCGCTAGTCATCATTTCATGCCACCACTCGGATCTGCTCATTATGGGCATGCTCCTCCTTATGGCGGCCATGGCAAGTTCAAGCACGGGAAAGGTCATAAAGGCAAGTTCAAGCACGGGAAGGGTCATAAAGGCAAGTTCAAGCATGGGAAGGGCGGAAAGCACGACATGTTCAAGAAATGGAAATGATTTGGTGAGCTTTTCTCCCTCTCTACCCTTCATGATAAACAACGCCAATGTTGCGATTAATAATCACATGTCAAGGTAATTTTCCGTGCTGGTATATGTAGATAGAGATCCTAATTACACAGACATCCTACAAAAGATGCTATGTGGCTTCCTTCCATTGCCAATGGAGCTAAAAAGAGTCATCATTGACAATATTTTAGCTTCGAGTAAATAATGTACTATAATAAAAATGGCACGATAAACTTTGCTTCTTAGTTTCTATGAAGTTTTGGGTAACATATGCAGCAATTCATAAGGGTCTAAGGGCTTGGTTTTGATTTGATTAGAATAAATTATGATCTGTTTGTAGTTATATTTAAAGTTGTTTCTGATATGAACTGATCTGAATTCAATAAAAATGAGTTGAAGAGAACATGTTCTAACTATGGGCGTATTCGGGATTTCATATGAGAGGTGCCTTGGACCAATTTTCAAAAAATACAATGAGCGAAGAAAAAAATTGTAAGCAACTGCTAAAACATTAGTTGTAATTGCATCATTAAGCCAATGCAACGGCGAAACAATACTTGTAAGGCTCTGTGGTGTGCCCTCCCCTCTTGTTCCCCTTTTTCCCCGTTTACCAACTCAGCATCACGCCAGCTTCATCTTTCCTCTCCCCTTTACTTCCTTTTTTAGGAAAATGTTTTTCCTTCTTTCCCCTTTGCCTTTCAATTTTTAATATTATTCTTTAACACTTATTTTAATTAAAATAATTAAACCAATAATTTAACACTTATTTTGAAGTCCTCTTGCTCTAGGCATTGGCGTTCTAGGGCAAGTTGCTTCGCTTTTTCTTTGTGTCTTTGCTCAAGCCTCTCTGCTCTTGCTTGTTGTCACCCGAAACCTCTCTGCCTGCAATTTAGCAAATGCGGACAACGAAGTGCCGAAATGCTCGAACCATTAAACCAAGAGTTCGGTTGCCATACACGAGGATCCTCCTCCTTTTTTCGCCTGATCCCTCTCGCTGGGTCGTTCCGGGTCCAATGGTGTTGGGTTGTTGTCATTATCGTCATTGATACTCGTCATCCAACCCGCATAAGATATGTCAGGATTATAGTCGCCCGATTCAACCATTTGGAATTGCTTTGCCCATGCGATCTCATTTGGAACCAGTGCCCATTTATAATGTTTGTGGAAGACGTTCCACGCCTCAAGTAATTGTTGTTGTAGATATCGCTAAGTTTTTTATTTCTATCTATATCGCGATACATGGAAGCTATGGTGAACAAGGTGGTACAACTTTTAGTTCATCAACTCATGGAATTTATTAGTGACTTTAGCCCAAAACCCATTGCTCGTCTGAGTACACGAGTGATAGAACATTTAAGAAAAAATAATATATAATGAAAAGACTAATTTTAGCAAAAAAAGATATATAATGAAAAAACTAATTTTAATGAATGTGCACCTCTTATCGGGTCGGTGAAAATGTTAGCCTAAGTATTGGCTAACGCTTCCTCCTCGATCATGATCTAAGATTTTGGAGCACTCTGAGTTGTACTTGGTCTCCTTTCATGTTTTCCCTTCCCTTATGATATTTTTGGAGGATGTGTATCGAGCACAACCTCGTCGATAACCTCTTCGATATCGAAAGGGATGTTGTGTGTGTGAGCAGTCACATGCGGTAATGGCGTGCCAATAGTTAGGACGGTTGGGTGTCACTGGTTTTGAAGTTGCTACTACTGAATTTGTTGTCATTCTTGAAATTGTCGCATTTGAAATGAATTGCCCGTGAGCATAAGCTGCAAATGAAGAAAAGGGGAAATTGGAGGAAGAGAGTGGTGGTTGAAATGCATCTGTGATACTAAAATATGTGAAAAATGTTTAACAAAAATAGTACTAAAATTCAAAGAAATGGATGAGAAGTGTGTGAAAAAGATGAGCGGAGTGCTATGTGTAAATAGTGAAAACTTTTGAATTTTATTTTATTTTTTTAATTCCCAACGATTACATTAAAAAGAGAAAAAAACAAAAAAAAAAGACTGTTAAAGGTCGAACAAGAAAAACGGGAAGGGGGTCCCACCTTCCTCGTTCCCGCGTGGGGGAGGGGGGGTTCCCCTTTCATAATTTTTGTCTCAAATTATAGTTTGTGATTTACATTCACTCTTGTTATTTCTTAATGGTTAACATCAATATCAATTACACAAATTTCCATTTCTTAATTTAAGTGTTACTAATTCATGTCTCAAAAGCAGTAGGACAAAAGAATCATTTTAATTGAAAAGAAAATTGACACAAATATTCCGATGTTTAGCCGATCGAATAAAAATAATATATACCGCATTGACACATTAAAATATGTTGGTGATTCCTCCAAGTCCCACACCGGAGAGAGAAGAAAAAAATGGACCAAAATATATAGGTTCACCCAACTCCATTAGTATGAGGCCTTTTGGGAGGTGTCCAAAAACAAATCCGTGAGGGCTTGGCCCATAGCAGACAATATTATACTAATGCGGGGTTGGGGTGAGGGCACGCACAGTTCCAACATGTGGTATCGGAGCCCAGGTTCTTGTGGGCAGGAGTAGCGGACTGTGTAGTGTGGAAAAATCTCGGTGTGACGGTGTAACTAGGACTAAGACCAAGAAAGAGGATCTGCAGGTGGTGCCTTGTGTCGAAAGTCTTCCCGACGAGAGGAGGTCGGGCGGCGCGTCCCATGAAGTTATAGTCACGGCGGTACAAGATGATTTGGCGGATCAAATGGTGTAGCCCAGTGAAGGAAAGATCTGCGGTTCGAGCCTTGCGTCGAAAGTCTTCCCGACAGGAGGTCGGGCGGCGTGTCCCGCAAAGAGTGTGCGGCGGTGCAAGATGGTTAGCAGATAAAAGGAAAAATGGATTACCGTTGGAGGGGAGGTCGGAAATTGTGTGGTCCTTGGTTGAGGGAGGTTTGTTGGGGATTCCTCCAAGTCCCACACCGGAGGGAGAAGAAAAAAATGGACCAAAATATATAGGTTCACCCAACCCCATTAGTATGAGGCCTTTTGGGAGGTGCCCAAAAACAAATTCGTGAGGGCTTGGCCCAGAGCGGACAATATCATACTAATGCGGGGTTGGGGTGAGGGCACGCGCAGTCCCAACAAAATAAACACAAATTGCGACATATCCTGCATAATTGACCCGCAAATTATGATGTTATTTTAGGGTCCGTTTGTTAATGGTAAAAATGACTTTCGGAAAACAACTTTTGGAAAATGAATTATTTTCCAAAAGTCATTTTCCCTTCATTTTCATTCTCTAATTTTTGGGAGAAATCTAGAAAATGTGAAAGAAACGTAGAAGGCCTACGACCATTCACACAAGTTCCAATATCTGGAATTTCTTGTTTGAACTATATTTTCAAAGATCAATTGCAAAACAAAGGAGTTATTTTTATAGCTTTTTCGATAAACCAGAGGGCTCGATGCATGAGTATGATTTGGAAAAATGTGAGAAGATCCACAGAATTACGAAAGCACAACTCAACGTTTAAATGTAAAAATTTTATGAATATTTTTAATTCTTCATTATTTTTTAAAATTAAATATAATTTTTGTCCTGGTAAAACAAAAGATTTTGGTTTTTGTTACTGCAAAATAATTTTTTTATTAAAGTCGTTCTTACAAAAGAATTTATTTTGAAAATAGTAGCACTTCTAATTAGATTCGATAGTACATCTATTTCATACCCAAAATTTTAATCTTGTAATTCTGACCACCTACATGTCATACAATTTCAAAGCTTTAAATTGTGTATTTGTTCATGATATATCTCTAATTTCCAAATTTCTTAAGAATATAACTTAATAAAATTGAAAATCTGATTTGATAAAGAATGCAAATTGGGACATAAGAATTGTGTTTGAAACAATTAGAAATGTAAAACTAAACTATTGAATATGAAATAAATGTGCTATATCAACAGCAAAAGTTTTATTTAAGTATAATGATCATTTTTAAAATAAAAAATTGTAAGGATGACTTAAAAAAATATTTTACAGAACCAAAAACAAAATTCACTTATTATATAGGGATTGAAAATATATTTAATTGTTAATTTTTTATTTAAATAAAATTGAAAATATAAGCAACCTTAAAATTTAAGAAATCTCTCAAGATATGAGTAATAAAGTACTTTGTATGAAACTTTCAAAATAGGAATTCTAAATCTTTTTAAAATAATAGGGGTATAATGGCACTGTGATGTAAAAAACATGTTGGTAGTGTGATGGACAGGTGATGACAGTTTAGTTAATCAACCGTCGGTAATTTGTGGCGGTACTTTAGTAGGTGACGACGACATATGGCGTTGTGGTAGAGATAGAGAGATAATCTTATAGTTATGATGTGACAATAGGACAAGTGTCTCACCATAATAATCATATACGGAGTATACTACTATTTTGATTTTAAAGACTTAAATTTTTATTTTGGTATTTTATCTGCTAACACTAGGGAGTGATCAGGCAGTTTTTGGGGTTAGGTTATGTTCCTTTTAGAACCCTAGAGTCGTGTCCGCGCTAAATCGGCATCCACAGTCCGCGCTCTCTGCGTCCGCCACACTCCCCAAACTCTCTCTACCACTCGGAATCTACATGTAAGCATATATCTCTATCGATCGATCGATTTATGGCGTTTCTTTGGATTGTTTCTTTTTCTTCTCTGTTTCTGATTTGGGGTTTGGAGATTTAACAGACTGGTAGAGAGAAGAGGATGTCGGATCAGAGGTTGACCCGTATTGCCATAGTCAGCTCCGACAAGTGCAAGCCAAAGAAGTGCCGCCAGGAATGCAAGAAGAGCTGCCCCGTTGTTAAAACCGGTAACAGATCCAATTTCTGGGGGTTGAATATCTCGTTCTTGGACATGTAGCCTGAATCACTTGTTCAACCCACACATTTTGATTATAGATGATAATTTTGTTCATCCAAATTTCATAATAAATCTTCAACCCACAAAATGCTCATTTTTTGGAATGCAAGATAGCTTTTTTTGTTCGTATAGTGGATGGATTGGACATGGGAGAAATTCATTTGTGTAAAACCCACAGCTTCAGGTCTTTGAAAAAGAATGTATCCATCTTCAGCTAGCAAATGTGAATATGAGAAATGCAGTAGTCAAGTTATGGGGAGGGGTTCCTTAAAATAACTTAGGCAAAGGCAGCATCTTGTTATCAGATCAGTGTCATCACTGATTATTAGTACCTTAATCCCTACTAGTTATGGTTGGTGGGTGGCATTAAATTTGTAGTGCCAATGTTTGTTAAAGACTACACATTAATGCAAGACAAAACTTATTGGCCAGCAATGTTTTAGAATGGATGCTCTTTATGTCACAACCTCCCTGAGAAGCCATAACAAGATGAAAAATTTTAAAATCATCATTGTAATAGGCAATTTTCACATGCACGGAATATATCACGTGCAGGCGATGACTTGAGATATTTGCTATTGTGATGTCTGATTGAGAAACAACAAGCTTATGCAGAAAACATGAAATACATTTACAGTTAAAAAATTATTCTCTCCTAGATTTGAAGGAAATATCTGTAAAAGAAACAATCTTCTTACCCACCCCCTCCCCTTCCATGTGTCTACTTTATTTTGTGAGCTCTATTTTGCGGCCTGATATTTCATGATTCTACTATGCTCTCTCATTTATTTTGAGATGGAGGACAGGTAGTGGTTGCAATGGGATAAGGGCTTCTAAATTCTTAGGATCAGTGATTTATGTTTGCAGGCAAACTATGTATTGAGGTTGTTCCTTCAGCCAAGATTGCCTTCATCTCTGAGGAATTATGTATCGGATGTGGTATTTGTGTAAAGGTTTGTAGATAATGTAGCATCCATGGGAATGTTTTGCACTCATTTATGAGCCTTCATATATGCACATCTCATTGATTAATTTTCTCAATGCAGAAATGCCCATTTGAAGCAATCCAGATAATCAATCTACCAAAAGACTTGGACAAGGATACAACACATCGTTATGGTCCTAACTCATTCAAATTGCATAGGTTAGTCTTCAATCCTGAAGCGTTATCACCCTCTCCAGATGGCTATATAAAGTCTCCTAAAAGGTTTGTTGCAGGTTACCAGTCCCAAGACCAGGACAAGTTCTTGGCCTAGTGGGAACAAACGGTATTGGAAAATCAACAGCTCTTAAAGTTTTAGCTGGGAAACTAAAACCCAATTTGGGACGTTTCAATGTAATTTCCCATATCCTCTTTATTTGGCTCTTCAATTCGAGCCCCATAGTGTTATACTGGGCACTTTCCTTCTATTTATATGTTTGTTCATTTGGCCTTTTGCAGAATCCTCCTGACTGGCAAGAGATACTGACTTACTTCCGAGGTTCTGAATTGCAGAATTACTTCACTCGCATTCTAGAAGATAACTTAAAGGTGAATATCATACTAGCTCTGCTTAAGACAATGTCCAATCATTGGTTCAGTGTGCCTCTTGATGATTTGTTATTGATGTCTCTTCCAACTAGGAATGAAATATATTTTGGTTTGGAATTCATTATGTGTTTGTCATTGCCAAGGTGCCTTGATGTCTCTATTGTCCTTGAATGATGTTGGGGGCTTGGGGCTGGGTATTCGCATTTCCTAGTCAAACCATCACATAGTTGCCTTGCATATTGATTCACTGTCAGAGAACTGACTTCACATGAAAATGCTTGTCACCATCATCATCTCCAGCATGAAAACTGAATCAAGTAAACAGCTTGAAGATCATGCAGACCAATTTAGATGCTTACCATCTTCGAGGCAACTCTTGTTCTGTGTTCAGGCAATCACCTTTTGCTTGCGGATGGTTCTTTTCCATATGGATAAGGTTGCTCTCTTGGTTATATTTTGGCCAAGAACTATCTCCCATAGATCTGTTAACATTGAAACAGACACAAGAGTCCATGTGAACATGTATTTATCTATATGCTGGCAAAAACTGTGTGCACTGTGATTGTTTGAGAGACATGAGTCAAGTACTTTGTTGAGAGGAAAATAGAACTCATGTTGCTAGAAGAGAAGAAACTTAGAAGAGAAGAAACTTGTTGAGAGGAAAATAGAACTCATGTTGTGAATCTTGTTATGATTTTGGACATCACAGTAGAGTTTGTGGTGCTGTTTTCAAAATGAGTCCTCTTTATGTCTGCCCTCAAAATATCTTCCATATTTTTGTCAAGGAGAGCATTATGTGGTTCATACTATTTCTCTCTTCTAAATAAACGTCAACCACAGTTTTCATTTTCTTAATTCGCGTGTTTGGTCAAAGTGCTCTTGTTTAGGGATAAAGGGGGTAGAATCTTAATATATTTTGTTTTATCATCTTTATTACCCGATTATTAAAGTTTTTGATGCTTTTTTAAAATACTCAGGCCATTATCAAGCCTCAATATGTGGACCATATTCCAAAGGCTGTTCAAGGAAATGTAGGGCAAGTTCTTGATCAAAAGGACGAGAGGAATATCAAAGAAGAGCTCTGTATTGATCTTGAGCTGAATAAGGTTTTGGACCGTGATGTTGGAGATTTATCTGGTGGGGAGCTTCAGCGGTTTGCCATTGCTGTTGTGGCTATACAAAATGCAGAGATATACATGTTCGATGAACCATCAAGTTACCTTGATGTGAAACAAAGGCTCAAAGCAGCTCAAGTTATCAGATCTTTGCTTCGTCCCAACAGGTTCTGTGGCTCCCTTGATTCTTCTTTCTTCTTATCACTTAATTACCCTATTTACATATATTAATTTTGTTTCTAGACACCCAAGATTAGATTGTGATATATTCTTGCCTGAGGTTTTTTACTTTAAAACTTTTGTTTCAGCTATGTAATTGTTGTGGAACATGATTTGAGTGTTCTTGATTACTTGTCGGACTTTATTTGCTGCCTGTATGGAAAACCTGGTGCATATGGTGTTGTCACTCTCCCTTTCTCTGTTAGAGAAGGAATCAACATATTCTTGGCTGGGTTTGTGCCCACAGAAAATCTGAGATTTCGTGATGAATCACTCACCTTTAAGGTTGCTGAGACTCCACAGGAAAGTGCCGAGGAAGTGGAATCGTATGCACGCTATAAATACCCTACCATGACAAAGACTCTAGGCAATTTCCGGCTAAAGGTTGTTGAGGGTGAATTTACAGACTCACAGATTATTGTAATGCTTGGTGAGAATGGTACTGGGAAGACAACATTCATCCGAATGCTGGTATGCCTTTTTTTTTCTTTTGGTGAATCACACTTTTATAAATTGCTTTCAGTTACCACATGGGTTGTAATTGTTCTTGGCATTTTACTCTATGAATCTGCAGGCTGGGTTGCTGAAGCCTGACATCGTGGATGGGGATGTAGAGATACCAGAGTTTAATGTCTCTTACAAGCCACAGAAAATCAGCCCAAAATTTAAGTCTACTGTTAGGCATTTGCTACATCAGAAGATACGTGATTCCTATATGCATCCACAATTTGTTTCAGATGTAATGAAACCTCTCCAAATTGAGCAATTGATGGATCAAGAGGTTGTGAACCTATCTGGCGGTGAGTTGCAAAGAGTTGCCCTAACTTTGTGTCTTGGGAAGGTAAATTCTCTCAGAAAATCATATTCTGCCCCTGAATTTTAGTGCACAAAATCATGAGTTGTGAAATTTACTTTTTTGTTCATTTCGAGCCAAAAGAAAGAAAATGCTGCACTGCATTCTTTGTGTGATTTTTTGTTGTGTTATAATTTTTTCCATGAATAAATGTTGTTTTGGAAAATATATATATAATGCTTGTAATAAAAATATCGAGCTCAAACGTAAAGCTTTTATGTTTGCTTGGTCTGTGCAGCCGGCTGACATATATTTGATAGATGAACCAAGTGCATACCTTGATTCGGAGCAGCGTATTGTGGCTTCAAAAGTCATAAAGAGGTTCATACTACACGCGAAGAAGACAGCTTTTGTGGTGGAGCATGACTTCATAATGGCAACTTACCTGGCCGACAGGGTAGTTGTGTATGAAGGGACCCCATCTGTGGATTGTATTGCAAATTCACCACAATCTTTGCTCACCGGAATGAACCTCTTCTTATCCGTAAGCACTTTCCCTTTTTAAAAAATCAAGTTGCATAAATCTCTCTTAACTTCAAAAGTCTTCTCCCTCTGTCCCTAAAAGAACTTGTTGGCAGTTTGATATCACCAAGTTGAAGAAAAGCGAAAGGTTTTTAGAAAAAAAGTGAAAAGTGTGGTTAAAATTTATATCTAAAGATAGATAAATGATAAGGGCCACATATTCATTTCTCAAAAATGAAGGTTGAGAAGTGTGAAGTTCTTTTTTGAACACCCAAAACGGGAAGTGTGAAGTTCTTTTAGCAATGGAGGGAGTTTCACATAACTGTATAAATGGAAGCTGGTTTAGGGAAATGTGATAGATTTTGCATATTGTTTGCTATGGGAGAAATGTTCATTATTTCTCTCTGGATATCTTTCCACTCAATTATTCTCTCGTATTTTGCCTCAACCAAACGAAGCTTAAATGACCATATGTTATATAGGCGAATAATGCTAAAAACCCACCACGGATGCACCCACAGATGATTTTATACATACACAGACGAATCTGTGTCCACAAATGATTATCGTCGGTACATGTATAAATCATCCGTGTGATTGTTATCTATGGAGGCAACCGTGGTGGGTTCCTAGCATCATAGTCCTATAGTGTTTCTCACACAAACGTTCTTTTCTGTGTAGCACCTGGATATCACTTTCCGCCGGGATCCAACAAATTTCAGGCCCAGGATCAACAAACTCGATTCAACCAAGGACAGGGAACAAAAGAACGCCGGTTCCTATTATTACCTGGACGATTGATTTTGATTCGCGAGAGAGTTTAGGAGACGTATAAGAGGCACGACTTTTCCCCCTCCCCTCTCACTTCTGGTGCATTGCCGAAGAAGCTTCAAATCCCCCTTCGTCTGCTGCTATGCTTCTGGGTGTTTTATTTATTAGATCTCACATTTTGACATATTTTAAAAATCTAATTTAATAATTTAAGCAGGAACTGTTTTTTGCTGTTAATTTTTTTTTTACAGGGGTAATGTTGCTTGCATTTTGACCCCTCCAGACCTAAACAGAGTGAGTTTGTTGTTGAATGTAAGCGGGAAGAAATTTTATAGATGAGAAACTGTTGGGGGGGGGGGGGGATNGGTTTTCTCTAATTGCTCTTGTTATTCATAGGGTAAATTCCTCGAATAGTCCTTGATATTTGGATATATTCCACATTTAATCCACCATCACCGTCTAAAATAATCAGATTTTGAATTTTTTGGTTAATTGTTTGAGTACAAATTATCTACGAGTAAAAAATATACGGAGTATTTAGTTACTCTGTATAATGTGAATTGGATATAATTATATTTATTTTAAGATTCAATTTTTGTATTCTGTGTCACAATTTTATAATTTTTATTTTAATAAAATTATATGGTGCATTCATTCATACTCCGTAGTTAAACTGTATAGAAAGAAAACCAAAAAAAGTCTTGACGTGGAAAGGATATTTGGGACAATTGACTGTCAATTAATTTTGAATGTTCCGATTTTAGGTAGTATTCTACTACGTAACTTTTTATCAAAAGTTTTCCAAATGATATTAACAAATGACTAAAAATAAAAGTGTTCTAAGTTTTTTAAAGAAAATTCACTCCGTCCACATTATCTTCACGTTTACTATTTATGTGGTCAAATTTTATTTATTTTGTTAGCATATTTTCATTTGATAAAATAACATAGTCATGTCATCTCTGCTTTTGTAGATTTTTTGATGTAATTTTTAAAAATTTAATTTTTATTTTTTAATTACACATCATTTTTTTATTTAAAATGATTTGAAAATAACTTTACTCAAAATCGTAACACGTAACGGGAAAATAATTGTTGATGTAGATGACTAAATCTTACAAACTTTGACTGTGATTTATAAGAAAAATACTTGTATAAAAATTGATATGGAATTATAATATTTAGTTAAAGTTATTTTCAATTCAATTTATAAAAAATTAGGGTGAAATTAATAAAAACATATTTTAAAACTTTTACAAAACAAGAGTTCTTTGTAATATATAATTTTGATATACTTGTACCAATATTAGGTTTAATGCTCGGGCAATTAACATGATTTAAAAAACATACCTGGTTTGTTTTCCAAGATCATACTCGTGGATATTTATTACTGAGTTTTACGGAGTTTGGTGAAGTACTCGTGGATATTTATTATGGAGTGTTCATATTGTCAAATTTTATTTATTTATGAATTATATGTACATATAATCAATGTGATCTTTAATAAGTGTGTAAATAGTTTTTGAACTTTCAAAAAATGTAAAATAGTCCTTATAGTCAAAGAACTATTGCATAATCAGTTCCTCTGTTAGAGTACTTTTATTCATTCATCTCACTTTCCCCTATCTTTTTTCTTATTTTACGACCACATCACTTTCTCATTTAGCTTTTCGTACTACTTTAATAGTTCCTCACCCCTTCCCTTCTTTTTAATGGTAGGCCCGCAAGTCATAAATCTATTTAATTTTTGTAAAGAAATAAATCATCTTGATATTTTATGGTAATAAGTTTATTTTATCTACACAATATTTATCATACCAAATCAAAATAAGTTGTTTTAAAATAAGTAATGAAAACTTATGGAGTCTTTTTTTATTTTAAAAATATACACATGCCACAAAAAAAGATTTAATTAAAAAAATCATACCATTATAAAAAAATCAACCTTTTTTTTCCTTTTTTCCCTCTCTCTTTTCTTCTTTTTTCCTTTCCTTTCTCTCTTCTCTCTTTTTTTCTCCATTTTTCTCCTCTTTTCTCTCTTCTTCCCCGGGGAATGTGCATTTCCCTCTCCCTTTCTCTCCTTTCCCCTCTCTACTCTAACCATTAGAAAACTTGTGAAATGTAAACATCACACGTGTATTATTCAAGGATATGAATCATGTAATAATAAAAAAATCTAATCTGAACTTTCAATTATGATGCATAAGTTTGAAGCGTTGTACAATATCTTTCATCTTTTGATTTAACTCTCACAAGGAATTCTTCATATCTTATGTAGTGATATTTCTTTGAATCGTTCTACAATGTTATATGTGACCTCAACATTATTCTATTTTTTAAGTAACTTTATTCTAGAGTAATATCTTGTAATATGAGAGTTGGAAAAAAAACATTCCTTACCTTTAACAACAAAGGCAACAACAATTTTATCAAATTAATTTCTTTTTTAGTTACAAACAAGAGTTGGAAAAATACATTCCTTATCTTTAACAACGAAGGCAACAACAATTTTATCAGATTAATTTCTTTTTTAGTTACAAATTTCACATTTTCACACAATAAAATGTATTCTACATGCGTTACATTTTATTAAAGAAGTAATTATGCATCAATTCTTTGACCACAGAATAATAGTCATATCACCTCTTTTTTTGTAAAACTTTTAATACAGTAGTATAGTTACTAACATCAAAATGAAGTATCAAACACTGAAAAATCAAATAGATAAACCAAATCAAGGCAGAGCATACTTCAGAGTAATTTATTACTCTCCCCGCCCCATCACTTGTTTCTTTCTTTTCTCTTAGGGCTGTCTCAAAGTTTTTGTTCCACCTTTTTCAAGAAAAGATTTCGTGAACCATATTATTTCTCATTTAAACAAAATTCAACCACAACTTATACTCCCTATGAGAAAAATTATGGGGCGGAGGGAGTACATCTCTTTTACTACGTATATAAAATACGAGTAGCACAAATTGTAGTAATACTCTAGAAAATAAACCTCCTAATCGGTTGGGTCACTTCGAACCCAAAATACATTAGGCCATGAACAAACATTTCTAAACCCAAACCGGAGAGTACCAAACCTGACATGACCGACCGTTTATCAGCTCTAACTTTGATGGTTCCACAGCTCTTGGGAAGGAAGAATGTGGGATTTTTAAAGCGAAGAGTGATGCATATTCACCAGTGAGGGTGATCATCTTGGGGAGTCTGTGGTGGCACAGGCTTCCAATTAGATGTCTCATCCCAATACATGTCATAATATATGTGACCTGGTGTTTGGTTTTCCACACAACACCATATCCCCACGTATCGCTTCACTCGCTTCCCGAATCTTTCTTCCCTTACCTGATGATCCACACATCAAGACCAGATTTTTTTAAATGTATATAAAAGTGATCACTTTAGGTGTGAATCATATCACTCTTACAGATTTACTGTATAGCTTATCGGGCAATTGGTTTCACTATAAACTGTATAAGTTTTAGTGGGTCTATGGTTATAAAAAAAACAGAAGAGAGAGTTTACCTTATCAGAGAAACCTTGAAATGCATCCTTCATTGATGAGAACTGAATCACTTTGACATCCTTGAAGGAAGAGAATATTGTCTTAAACTGTTCAGAATGAACTCAGTTTTAGCTATATATATATATATATATATATATATATATATATATATATATATATATATATATATATATATATATATAACCCCGAAGTAAATTTAAGTATATTTTATACTGTAAAAAATGTGGGTTTAAATATAGAAGGGGAGAAGAAAAACAGAAAGGTAAAAGAGCACACAATTGGCCAAAGAATTGTGGTAGGTTACGAACACCTTGCAGATAATAATACATTTACTTATACCATGCACAGAACCTTTTGAAATTTGAAATTTATTGCTTAAATCTCACTAAAGCCCTATGTGATACTAACAGTGCATAGTTTTCTTTTTCTTGATAACATTAGAATACTTTTACTACTGCACACACTAATAGCATATTACTTGAAAAATATGCATATTACAATAACCTATCCTAAGAAGTTTATCAGGTTGGCCAACAATAATACATGAAGCATTTATTTTAGGGCCAGTATCATTTTCAATTTTTATTTTTTATTTTACAATTTTGAAAGGTATATGATGTAAGTTGCAAAATGAACTAATCAACTAAAACATACTAGTAGTAATGCTTACACTAATCGTGTTAATTTTGAAAACTACCAACAAAAAAGAACAGAAATTTCCTGGATTTCATGATCTTGTTTTAGGAATTCAATAAAACAAAAAACCATAATGAGCGAACCCTTAGTCATCAGTTTCTTTTTTGTTTCTGTTTTTTTTGTGGAGTGTGATGGGGGTGGGGGTGCACAAATAACATTTTTATTCACCAGACAGATTGTATATCATTGATTAGCAGTAACTCAAAACAATAATCGTTAGCTAGGTTCTTTCATTACCGTTTCTTCACTACTATTCTTGGGGAATTTAAGAATTCCCATTTCAGTAGTACTGTTGGAAAGTTGGCAGCCTTGCGACCCTTCTCGGCATAGTTGCACATCAAGCCATGACTCTTTCACCTTAAATAGGAAATTTTTTTAATAAACTGACACTAAGGTATGAGACCTTAGCTTTCACAAGCATAGCACAAAAACATTAATATGGCCGATAAATATACCTCTTGGGGCATTAATGGATTGTCAAATAAAGAATACTCTCTAAAACTGATCCCAGGTCCAAATTCTTCCACTGGTTGCTCTTTCAACATAACATTAACCTGCAGTATAGCATGCACCATGATTCTTCTGAATCATTCTGAATTCTCAAACATTTTAAGAGTTACAGAATGTCAAATGATTGTGAACGTAGTAGTCATAATGCATGCACCGTCGCAAAACCATGATGCAAACTAGGAAACTTTTGATTGCTAATGATATAATACAGCGACGTCAAAAATTTCAAAATTGCTACTTGGAGAAAATAAAAAAGTTTGGAAAGTTTTGAGGATACTTTATGGATTTTTTCAGAATAAAAAAAAGTAACCCGATGGAGAAAGAAAGGACCTCAGTCTGTAATTGAGTTCTACACCTTACACCAATGCATGCATAATAGCACTCTTTAGGGTTTGAAAAGAAAAATTAATGTTTCAAAACTAAATGAGTCTTTCTATGAAGATCCTCTTTGGCATAATGCAATTTGCTTTCTCAGCCTCTAATTTCCCCTTTCAATCTTCATTTTCTTCTTCATCAGATTTCTCCCCCCACCCCATTCCCATTTGGCCTTCTCCTTTTTCTTCTTTCTTCGTCTTGTCTTCTTCTTCTACTTCATACCTACCACAGCCAACTTCTTGTTTCTTCCTTGTCAAATAATCCCATCCATTTCCTTGGTCTCAGCTAGGCGCAGCAGCCAAAGGGCGGCGACAAAGAGCCTATATTTCATGTCCAATTTCTTGGTTTGAAACCTAGATTTGATTTTTTATATTTTTTATTGCCTTCTTGTCTTAATCTATTCATAGATTTCTTTTTTGATTTCATTATGGCATAACTCTAGGTGTGATTTTTTTAGTGGGATGAGATCTAATTTTGAATTCGGATTTTTATTTTTCTGAACAGGGGCGGGATTGAGGTTGAAGATGAAGTAAAAGTTTGAGTTTGAGGGGGCACTGTGAATTTGAGGTTGGAGGGGGCAGGGTGAACTTGAGGTTGGAGGAGGCAGAATGAATTTGAGGTTGAAGAAGAAGATAACGAGGTCGGCGGGTGAGCAAGGTTACAGAAGAAGAAGAAGAGTAGGCTTAGTAATTAAAAGGGTATTTTGGGGAAGTCAACTACTTTTACATCTTACATTAAACACCGTGCCAGGTCAATAGTAGATTAAAGGTACAAGACAAATGGAGTATTGTTATTAAAGTTTGTTTGGTTTGATTAGAAATTTGTTTATTTTTTTTATTTTATAAAAAAACACGAAAGATAGATGGGTTTGGAGTTAAATGGCTTGTGTATACATGGAGTGCAAGATACTATATCACACGTGAAGAGTATCTTGGGTGTATCATTCAGGACAATGGAGAAATAGAGGATGATGTAAACCACACGATTGTTGGTCGAAATGATGGAGTACGTCTGGCTTTATATGAGACACAAAAAGCACCTTCAAAACTCAAGGAAAAATTTTATCATACTACGATTAGACCAGCCATATTGTATGATACATAGTGTTGGGCTGCAAAAGGTGAACATGAACACAAGGTTAGTATGGCCAAAATGAAGATGATCTGGAGGATGGGCGGTCATACGCACATGGATAGAATAAGGAATGAAGATATGACAGCAAAAGTGCCTATTGTTTAAAAGATAGTGGAAGTGCGTCTTAGGTGGTCTGAACATGCAGAGAGAAGACCTGACCTGTAGAGCATTCAAAGAGTGGACAAAATGGAAAGTAGACATGTAGCTAGAGGAAGAGGTAGACCTAATAAAACTTGACACGAAGTGGTCAAGAGTGATCTACGCGTGAATGATCTCGTTGGAGATATGATACATAGCACCATTTGATCCATGTACTTGACCCCACCTAGTGGAATAAGGCTTTGTTATAAAAAAACATATTTTACTTCAAGCCATTCGACTTAGTAGCACTTCAAAGCACATCCATGTACCTCAAATACATGATCCAGAGGACAAACAAAGGGCTGTCTTGTCATGGAGCCCAACAAAACACCAGGGTGTCCAAACCATAACCTATCTAACCTACACCACAGTGGAGGCATCACCTGCAATCACAACAAATGACATAAATAATCAAGATATTACCGGGTTGGAGCATATCCATGTATGCAAAAAATCAAACTGAAAGATTCATTAAAAACATGAATGGCAAAAGCAGGCACCGTAGGCACGATTAAGAAGCAACACAAACAGTCTAATGATTGTGATGTGTGTGTTTTGTGTGTATGAGAGAGAGTGAGAGTGAGAGTGAGAGAGAGAGAGAGTTCAGAACCAGAGCCCTAGAAAAGAAAATGTTTGCATTGGGTTTTTATTATGCTTGATAGTGTTGGTGTTTGGAACCACTTCATTGATGATAATATCGTCTCAAGGGGCTAAAGTTAAAATCGTACCACTTTCAAGGTTAGTGTTACTACCATAGTGCCATACATATAAGAATAAATGTTTTGAAATGTTCTCAGTCCTCACCAATGTGCGATTTAACAGTGAAGCAACGGCAAGTGCAGTCCTTATTTGTTTGATCTGAAATTAACGATTAAAAGATAATTAACGTGATTTGAGTAGGGGAATTGCAATTTAAAATATAAGGCTGGATGATCGTAGAAATAACCTGGTAATTAACAAGAAAGAAGTGTGATTCAATATTATTTTCTCCATCTAGTAACAAGCTTTTGGGTATAGATGGTTTAAATGACAAAAACCCGCCTGGAAAAATCTTAAATGTTAAATCATGACATTGAGCAACAAGAGTTCTGTTTCACGAAGCATGCGATAGAAAAGTTATGCTCGTCTACGGGCACAACAAAGGTCCATAACATATAATTGCATTTTCACTTAGCCATGTTAGCATTTGATTAATACCCTTGACTAATCTTTTCAAGACATCGTCTTTCTGCTGCTCTACTACTTCGTACTAGAGCTCTCAAGATTACACACTAAAACCTATCTTCTAAAAATTCTTGAATTTTTATAAGCCCTAATTTTAAAAACTGAGAAGTTATAGTCTGCTACATTTCAAAGAATATTGGTTACAGAATATACGAGAATACATCAAATACCCAAGAAACAAGAAATATAATATGACAGCAGCAAACCTGGTGGGTCGTAGTATTCTATTGGATCGAGGAAAACCTTAGCTTCACGCAATCGATGGCGCTTCCCTTCAGTCCCTCCATATTGGAATGTTGTATGTACAGCGTAGGGCTCTAGTTTGAGTTGTTGATACATCAACTACCAAATCAATGAACCGCGAATAACAAAGCATTATGATAAATATTTGGAATTGACTGTTTACAAATTAATAGAGTACAAAATTTAAACACTATGCACCATAACTTATACAGGTATGAATCAAGAAAGATAAGTATGTTATTACATAAGGGAAAAGTACCTGGACAAAATAAGTGTGCCCACTGCAGAAGATACTTGCGGGTAGAAGTCCCAGCTTGAGATTTCCATCATAAGCATAGACAAGTCCACTGTCATCATCAACAGATGGGCCTAACTGTCTGCGGATGATCTCATTGAAACCATTCTGATCCCATATTTTATCATCATTTAGAAGCATTTCTTTCCACTCTTTCACCAACTTTTTTGAGGAATCTGTTGGCCTCCAGTGAAATATTCCAATATTGTAAGCAGCACCAACTGCATAATACACACTCTCATAGTGAAAGAGCCAGTTAAACTATAGTTGTGTTCCAAAGTACACCCAACTAAAGGCAACAAATTACTGGAAGCCATAGGCTTGATTTTGGCTTGCATGGCATCTAAAACACCAGCTAGGGCAATACCAGAGGGGTTTTCTAAAAATAGTGGAGATCAGACTGACTAGTTCCCAAATTGAAGACATATTAGAAGCATCACATGGTTTCCAAACAAGCTTTACCTAGCTGCCAGTTGTCCAAACTGTCATCTGTAACCGTTGGTGCAACTTGATCAGTGGATGTCAAGATGTCGGCTTCAGGGAAACGTGCAATGTATGGAAGAGGGTTCTGTTTGTCGCACATACCATGTAATGGAAGGGATATGATACACATTAACAGAGTAATAAATATTGAGAAGACAGAAAAATTAAACCAAGAATGTGTATATCCATCGACTGGATATACAAAAGAGTGGTGTGAATAAATGTATTACAGCACAATGAGAGTAAAGTAGTAAACCCATAACTATAAATACAGGTAACCAGTGGGCATGTTCAGTTCTACACGGTACTCTGTATGCTAGTCCATTATTACTCCTAATACTCTACTTGCATTACTATTTTCTATTTCACAATTGAGAATAAATGAAATCACTTCAGATGTTCTTCTACTGATCTGGGTCACATATTGCCGGATCAGGTTAATAGTTTCAATGAAGAAGTGGCTATTGGCTGATCTGTAGATTCCATTCACATCAAAAGCAGAACTAAGAACTAATAAAATAATAAATGGTAATTCCAAAGAACAAACTTTGACAAATGTGGATCACCAAAAGGATGTGAGGTATATATTAAGATCATAAGCTGAGACATAAATATTACGGAGTACTTGGCAAAATGCTGAGGTAAAGGATTACCTTTAACCACACCATATCAGTATCACACATTAGGAGCTCAAAACCGAAAGGTAGGACAGAATCTATAAGAAGAACTTTTTCCCTTCCCATCTTGTGAAATGTTGGTGATCCCCATCCAACATCTACTGTACTCATGTGGCTACCCATGTCAAAGACAGGTATACCTTTCCAGTAAAGAGCCTCCAATAGTTTGGTGTCCATCGCACCTAGAAAGTGTATATTTGTCAGTACTTTGCATCTCGTTAGCATTTTAAATAAGAATATGCCAAAAACAAATTCATTACAATCAAGAAGATGAATAACAGTTACCAACTAGTAGGTTATCAACATTCATATCTGTCAAGTGCCTAACCCATGTCAAAATGAAATCCATGAATGCATAGTTACCAAAGGTGACAACTATTACATTTTCCCTCACTCTTTCCTGAAACAATTCTTTTGTCAATCGGAAAGTATCTAGGGATGGCATCCTTGAACCAGGAGGGGGGGCCTTCCATATTGGTTTTAGTGACTTTCTTTGCACCGGAGAATTTGATGCTTGAGGTAGACCAGCTCCCACTGCTTGAGACTCATTAAGTTTTGGAATTGGAAAGGCAGTTGCTGCATCTGAAATAAAATGTACCACGAGACAGCTAACAAATCAGAGTCACAGGAAAATGAAAAGCCAACCCCACTGGAAAGAATGATTTCAAATATGAAGTCATAAAGAATGAGCTTAAAAAATTGCAAAAAGATCCTCACAAGTTGCAAGAAATTGACAACTTTTTTTTAATTTAATGAATATTACTGCAACCGACGTAAGTGGGGCGAGAGAGGTAGACACAGCAATTTTGATACTGTTAAAATATGAAAAAGGGTCAATAATTTTATCTAATTAACAGTTCTGGATTAAATCTTTTATTTCTTTATCAACCACTCAACATGCTCCTATGTGATCCACTAAAGTTGATGGGTCAACTGTCAAGTCACTCCACTCAGGGTCTCAGACATTAAGATGAGATAGAACATCCTTTGCTAACATCACCAGCTGCAAATTCCGTGAACTCAACTTGGAACTTAGACGACACTGCATCAAAGCAAGGGACCTAGTGTACCAAATGTCCAAATGTACGTACTAGTAGTCCCTATGGGTGTACCCGAACAAGTACAATCTGAATTGAGCTCTCTCCATGATTGTTCGTTACAAATTATAACTGTTTGAGATCATTTATTCACTTAATGAGCGAGCATCAATAGAGTCAAGCCGAACCTAGTTTAAAAGTTACAAGTTCATGTCTTGGTAATGAACAAGCTTGTTTGCGGACAATAAACAATGTACATGTCCTAAACAAGTTTTCAATTTAACAAACTAATAACAACAACAACAACAAACCAGTAAAATCCCAGAAGGTGGGGTCTGGGGAACAAACTAACCCCAAATTTCACATTATTGAAACACAATAAAACCACATTCCACAAATGATAAATCATGATCAAATATATTGATCAATAATAGCCTTATGCACTCTTTAACCGAGTTTGTTCAAGAGCAACCCTAATGAACACTGACTGAGGTGTTCATGAGCTTTTATCAAATTAAAGCTCTGTTCATTTAGTACTAGAGCCCTTACCCAAGTATCATTTATGTTTGTTTAACCAAATGAACATGAACTCACTTAAATAAGTCCAAACATGAGCTGTTCGCGGAATGCTTTGTTCATTTACAGCCCTAAGTCTACTCTCAAGCAAGGCAAGATATATTGCATTGGTATGATTATCACTACCAAAAATGAGAAAAACGAGTATGTTGATAAGGATTTGAACAATCCCATTCGCCCCTTCTTGCCAGAAAAATCAGAACTTTAAAAATTAAATAGCATTCAATTACATCATGAACCCAAACATTTAATAGTTTTCTCCCTACTCTACACCCAATATGCATACAGTTCTAGTTCCATCTTTTTATTAACTTGATGCAGTATAACTAGCTAGTATATGTGTAAAACTGATCATTTTTTAACCTATTCTTGCTCTTTATTATCAGTCTAGGCGGATCAAAATATTCAGGCTGTACTGTAATGTAACAAAATTTTGAAAAATACATTCGGAAGATCCTAAACATCCAACGCCTATATCTGCTGGTAAAATAGAATTTGAAGTGTGTGAGCATGAGCGTGGATTGCATATGATGCAATCCAAACACTGTTGTACACACAAATATACACAGAGAGTGGCGAACTGAGAGAGAGTGTGCGTGCCTGATGAAGAGGACGGAGAAATGGAAGCGATGGAAAAGGAGGATATAGGCGGAGAGGAGGTGGCAGAAGAGGAATAGACGGCGGAGAAAACATAGAAAGCCGAGAAGACTACGCCAACAGCGACGGTGGCGTAGATCGTCAGGAACAAAGGCTTGGAATTAGCCATCTCCAGAACCATTTTCCTCCTCCGAACACAAGCTAATCGGCCTTAAGCCTTCATTGCCATGGCGAAACCTTGGTTAGCGAATAGAATTCAGAGCTAGGAGGCGGGAAGGTTGGTGGATTGACCGAGATGTGTGACGGAGCAGCGGCAGGCCGGCTACACATCAAGTCAATCATATCCACGGACTAATTTTGTACCATTACTACTACCATTTAAAAAAAACAAAATTTATTACTCTATCTGTCCCTGAGTATTTGTCCCACAATATTTATCCATTTTCCATTTATGGTAACAACAACAACAACTCAGTTGAATCCCACTACAGTAGGGTTTGGGGAGGATGTGTGTACGCAAACCTTGCCCCTACTCAAAAGTAGGAAGCCTGTTTCCAAGAAACCCCCGGCTCAACCTGCACAAAAATATGAAAGGGAACACTGTATAACACGGGTAAAGAGTCAAGTACAAGCAACAAGTACAAGCAGTAGCAAAGGATTCCAAACAAACACAACATACTACAAACAACCTCTACACCACCGAGCTCCTATCCAGCTACTTTAATCCTAATTCTCCAAAAGTTCCTATCTAAGGTCATATCCTCAGTCAGGGTGAGGATTCATAAATCCTGCCTAATCACCTCCCTCCAATTCTTCTTAGGTCTACCCCTTCCCCTACTTTCCCCGAAAACCGTAATCCTCTCGCATCTCCGTACAGTGGCGTCAGCATCCCGCCGTCTCACATGACCAAACCATCTCATCCTCGCTTCCCGCAACTTATCTTCCACTGGCGCCATGCCCACCTAACGTCAGATAACTTCGTTCGAAATCCTATCCAACCTTGTCTTCCCACACATCCATCGTAACATCCGCATCTCCGCCGCACGCAGACGACGCACATGAGTCTTCTTAAATTAACCGCCCAACACTCTGCCCCATATAACATAGCAGGTCTGACTATTAATATGAAATGTCTATTTAACCCTCATCATTTACTCTCTTCCCCACTCATTCAAATCTAATCAAATATCTTATCTCTAGGGGTGGACACGGTACCGGTACGGTACCGTGACCGGCAATGGTACCGCCGGTACCCGCCACCATAACGCCGACCGGGACGCCATAACCGGTTCTGGGAACCGGTACCGGTACCGGTTCCGGTGCCCAAATTTCGTTACCGGAACCGCCGGTTCCGGTATCGGTCTAATTTTTTTGGCTTTTGCTTCCCAACGCATACCTGCACTGCACCTGCAAAAAAAATAGAGAAAGTCAGTGGGGGGCGGCCTCAACGGCTAAATAGTTGTTTGAGGCTTGAGGTGGGGGAGGGGGGGAAGAAAAATATTCTATGAATACTTCATTTTTTCCCCTAAAAAATCACACTCAATCCATCTCTCAATCTATCAATCTCTCAAATCTCAATCTCTCAATCTTATTATCTCTTTTTAATTTTATACAATATATATTCATATAATGATTGATGGATTGTGGAATCCATGGGTAGAGGAAAAGGAGAGAAGATGTAGATTAGATGAAGAAGATGATGAATAGTGTAGCCCCCCTTTTTTCCTCCTCCCTCCCTCTTCCAAGAAGAGGGGTATAAATAAGGGTGGAATTAGGGTTAGGTTCTCGGAATAATGGGCCGGCCCAACAGACTGGGCCGCCTTAAATAAATAATTAACATACACCTAATGGGTCGGTCCAACAGATTGGATCGCTCCAACTAATATTATACAAAGACCGGATACCCCCTGTCTAGGGTATCCATCATGAGTCCCCCACTTCCCAAGCCGAGAGAAACTCGAGGTGAAGTGGAAGTAGAACAATAATCCACCGTGGAAGGAAACCATCTTCCTTGTCGTCTGTAGTGCACCGCCAACCCGCTGTCCAGAGTAAGGCAAGGTGAAATGAGATGCGCTGTCTGGAGCGCTAAAGCAAGAAAAAATACACAATCTGCTCATAGTCTTGAAAGGATCTGCTCTCGTACAAAGTACATCGTCGGTTCACTGTTTAGAGTGTAGCAATCACCGTAAGAGTGGATGAATAAGTCGTCATCCTCTCACCATCCCGTCAATGTGTGACCCACTCCACGGGGGATGCCTCATTAAAAATTTGCCGAGGAAAAAACCCATGAGGATGGGAAAAAATCTTTGGTCAAGAAAAGAGTACATCTCGTCCCACAGAGTGGATCAAGAAAACATTGCTAGGGGGTGATGTCTTCTGTGTGAATCTCAAAAGAGGTGATCTTCAAGTCCCCCGGACTCGTTGTCCGGAGTCGAGGGCTGTTCAACATAACGGATTGCCGACGAGTGCATGCCAACACGGACTACTGTGGTCTGATACAAGGTCAGGATGTCGATCACGAAGCTCTCCTGTAATAATTACGAGCCGAGCACCCGGAGTCCCCCACTCCCAAAGCCGAGGAAGAATTCGGAGGTGAAGGGGAGTAGTGTCCATGCTGGAAGAGGGGGGGAGGAGGAAAAAAAGGGGGGCTACACTATTCATCATCTTCTTCATCTAATCTACATCTTCTCTCCTTTTCCTCTACCCATGGATTCCACAATCCATCAATGATATAAATAATTAAATATATATTAATATATTACATAATAACCTATAAATACATTCATTATTCATATTATCAAATATCAATTATCATATATTTTTAGTTTATTACTAATATTATAATTTCAAAATTTTCGAAATTTAATATATAATTAATTTTTTAAATTTATTAAATTTTCGAAATTTAATATATTATTTTTTTAAATATCAAAAAATATATATTAAAATGTCGAGAGAGTCTGGTAGAAGGTCCGTGGATATGGGCGTCGTTAACCGAAGTTTGAGGAGAGACAAAGCTAAAGCCACCTCTGACGGTTCGACCTCACGCGGTTCTCGAGAAGACACTCCGTCTCTTCCTTTCCTACTATCCCCGATCAATTCATCAGGGACGGTATGACGGATGAAGATTTCGACCAGTACATTTCTGGCCGGTAGAAGGGATGCGAATCTCCCACTCTTGATAGTTTATTCGAGGATGTTCATGAAGTAGGACTGGACAATCTAGACGGGGACGAGGAGCCTACACCGCACAGCAATGAAGTCGACGTGGAGGCAGGTGAGCCCGAGACCTCTCGAGGTCCGGACAAAGGTTAAAAAAATTAAAATCAGATTTATTTGTTTATCATTTTGAAAAATAAACAAAAAATGGCATAGTTTATGGAACTTGTAAGTATTGTGGGACCGTCATTAAAATGGGAGTTTCCGGCGGTTATAGCGGTCCGGAAAAACACCTAAGGTCGAGGCATCCCGTAGAGTACGCCAAATACGCGGCGAAAAAGAAGGGACGACAAGAAGTGCAAACCCAAATTTCTCGGTTTGCTAACAGGGGTAAGGGTGGCCTTTTTGCTTATAGCGACGAGCAAAATAAGCAAAAAATGGCCGAAATGATTTGTGAAGAAAATTTGCCTTACATGTTTTCTGAAAAAATTGGATTTATTGATTATTGTCAACATGCATTAAAACCCTCAAGCAAGAGGTTTTTCAAGAAAAACAATTAAACAGAAAATTATTCGCTAGTATAAAATTGAAAAAATAAATTTGGCAAATTTTTTGTTCTGATATTTGGGGTGAAACATATCATAATTTGTCTTATATGGGTGTTACTTGTCATTGGATAGATAGTGATTGGATTATGCATAAACGTGTTCTTGCATTTCGTGATTTCAATGATTCTCATACTGCTAAAAATATTATTCTATTGCTTCAGAGTATTCTGCGGGAATACAACTTAGCTGATAAAGTTTTTGCATTTGGTTTTGATAATGCTACTAATAATACTGCTGTTATTCCTAGACTTTGAGAAATTTGCCCCCCTACTACGACTATGGGTAGATTTCTGCATCAACGGTGTGCCTGTCATGTTTTAAATTTATGTGTTCAACAGGGACTAAAAGCTATGGGGGTTTTGACGAGTATTAAAGAAGGAATTAGAAAACTTTGGGGGGCTCGTCTTATTTCGAGGTCTTGGAAGATATTCTGTAAGTCTAAGGGTAGAAAAGAAATAACATTTTCCTAAGATATCAACATTAGATGGAATAGTACTTACAAGTTGATAGCACAGATTCTAAGCTATAAAGAGGAACTTGCGGAATTTTTTAGGGATGAACTTCGTATAATCATTTCACCTTTTGAATTTGTTATTGTTGAAAAATTGAATGCCGTATTAGAAGTTTTTAATAACGCAACTCTTACTTTTTCTCATGTTTACCAACGTAACCAACTACAAATACATTTTTTAAAGAGTGCGTTACAATCGCAACATGTTTTCGTGAAAGTATGGTTGATGAAGATTTGTACCATTATGTCTCTCCTATGAGAGATAAATGGTGTGTTTATTATTTGTACATTCCTGATATTTATAAAATAGGTATTATTTGTGATTCACGCTTTAAGATTGAAAATTTTAAGATTCTAATTGACTATTACTACACTTGTTTTTTAGATGAAAATAGTTATTACTACAGCCATTTAATAGAATGAAAAAATGAAAGAGATAATGCTATAACTCTTTTTGAGAATTTGTTTAAGGAATATCAAGGGTTATACGGTACTGTACCAGAAGAAATAGCACCACCTCCGCCCCCCAAATCAAAAAAAGGTTTTAAAAGAATAGTCGGTGGGCTTCTTGCAAAGAAAGGGAAGCGTGCTCAGCCTTCGACGAGTTCAAGTGGTACAATAGTAAACTCACACAACGAATTTGCTATGTACCAAGGGGTGCCATGCGATTACGACGGCGACGTGGAGTTTGACGTCCTCGGATGGTGGAAGCGGAACGAACACATGTTCCCATGTCTCGGAATGCTAGCAAGACAAGTGTTGTCCGTCCCGGTATGAACCGTAGCAGTTGAACGAGAATTCAGTGCTAGCGGCAACATTCTAACCGACTACCGAAGTTGTCTTACCGTTGAATTTCTTGAAACACTTGTTTGCAACCAAGATTGGCTCTTGGCAAGACGTCGAGCTCAAGAGTTAGGGTACGAATTCAATTCGGAGCATTACATGAATGCAACCACAGATGGAAATCCGAGTTATAGGGAATAAGTTATAAACTTTTTTGATATTAATGTAAATATGTAATTAGTTTTTTTAGGTGAGCGATATAGTGGGTTTCTTTACGATTCTTTACCTCGTCGCTTTTTTTGAACCATCAGGATATTAAATGTAGTTGTTCTTCAGTTCGTGTATTACTTATTTTACAATATTTAAATAACAACTACATTTTTAGATTTTTTATTTCATTCTTTTCTCTAACAATTGCAAATTTACAATTTTACACTTTAAAAATTTTAAAAAAAAATCAAAAAAATAAATAAATTGGGGGTGGCCGAAACCGGCCGGTCCGGGAACCGGAACCTGTAACGGCCGGTCCGGTGACGGTTCCGGTACCAAGGGGTGGCGGTACCGGAACCGGCGGTTCCGGAACTGGAACAGGCCCGGAACCGTACCGTGTCCACCCCTACTTATCTCTCTCCCTCTCTTTATTCTCGTCCACTCATCTTCTCCCCAAATTTCCTTCATGTTTGCGCATGAATCAAAGTCGTGCAGCGGTGGATGGATACCTTCTCCAATGACAATCAAGTGGGAGAATTGGAGTTGGACGGCAATTCTTTAGGATTGTATGTCTTCTCATAATCTAGATCTCCACATTGGTAGAGAAGACATCTTGTCGAGGTCGTTGGAATCGAAAACGACTGTCGCCGTTGAGGCTGTCTTCACCGCCAACAACCCATACCTCTTTTGGTTTTCTTTCCTCCCTTCTCCGATCTCGGTGCAGCGGTATTACTGGCGACTAAGACGGAGTTCTTGTTGTGCTGGAACTTGAAGGATGGTGCTTGGAGGATGGGAGTGAGTGGTGTGATAGCAGGGGGTGCGTTAGCAAGCTGAAGGGAGTGGCGTACCCCGTGGTAAGGCAGGTGGACGGCGATGATTTTTTTTGTGCAAGGGGTAATTGAGTTATTTTGCTCCTCATCTTGGTAAATGTGCTAATCCCAAAGTGGACAAAAACTGTGGGACGGAGGGAGTATACGGTTGAAATTTATTTTGATGAAGAAAATTTTATACTCCCTCTTCCTAGATATTTGTCACATTTATATTCCCGAAGTAAAATATCAAGTTTTTTTAATTCATTTTATTTACATATTGCTATAGAAATAAAAAATAAAATTTAGATATCAAAAAATCGCATGAAAAGTTCTTCGAAATAATAGGTGTCAAGAATATTTTATTTTATCAAATAACCAATGAAAACGTAGAAATAAATAAAAGTTTCCGTGACTGCTAAAAAAGCAAATGTTGCAAATATTTAGGGACGGAGGAAGTATAAATTACATGGGTTGCATTAAAATGCCTATATATGTTAAATTTCACAATATTTTTTGACAATTTGTTTAGACATTGTTTGTCATTATAAGTCATACTTTAATATAAAAATTGAAGATTGTATATTTATATATAAAGTATATTTTAGCCTTAATTAGGTAAAGAGTATTTTTACTTTAAACAAACTCTACATTGATCAAACAAAGGAAATAAGATATATGGGGTGGTGCAATGGTACAAGACTATTTCCGAATGTTCATATGGAAATGTTTCTCATCATATCCATGCACGGGATTGAACACATATTTTTTTTTACTCTATAATATTTCTTCAATACTACTGATTAAGCAATCTAACAAAATCTAATATTGAATTCAAAACTTAAATGAAGGATATAATAAATATAGCATCGGTGGGGTTCTAGTGACACCCGCTTTTGGTGACACTAGCGATGCCACTGTCATTTTGGGGCATTTCTAGTGCTCCGTTCATAAAATTGACGGATCCTACCCCCTAAACCCCCCACCCTACTTCTGCCCCTGCACCCCCACCCCTACCCCGTCGTAAGCCACCCCCCACAAAATGTGTGGCTATTATGCAATGCATAATAGCCACACATTTTGTGTGGGGGGGAGGGGGCTTACAGCAGGGTTGGGGTGGGGGTGCAGGGGCGGGGCTAGGGTGGGGGGTTTAGGAGGGTGGGTTAGAGGGGTAAGAACTATCAATATGAACGGAGCACCGAAAGTGCCCTAAAATGACAGTGACACCGAAGTGTCACTAGAACTTCACCGATATAGCATATACTAATGAACTTTTTTTAGATTCTACTCCCTCCGTTCTAATAAAAGCTTCCTAGTTTGACTTGGAGCTAAAATAAGGAAGTGTTAAATTATAGTTGACTTCCAATTTTACCTTTGATGTGATGCATAAAAGTAAGATGTGATGGATAGATTATTAGAGAAAAAGTATGATGTGATAGGTAGGGTATGAAAAAGTAAGGGTAAAAGTGGATTTTTAATAGAAAGTGGAAATGTTTTGTTTGAAGTGGAAAAAATGAAAGAGTAAGTGTTTTTGAGAACGGATGGAGTATTTGATACACGAAATTAGAATTGAAATATAACACATGACCATTAACTATAACAAATTATTAATATCATTTAACAAAAGTATCACATTTTATAACCCATGCTACAAAATTGTACTCCGGGGTATGTTTTACTACTACTCGGCCTAAAAAATGTTTTGTTAAACATATATCGGGTCATTCCCTATTACGGCATTAGAGAACGTGAAATGACAAATACTCTTGGCTTATAACGCCTCAAAACACACTTTAAAAGTAATATTGAATTATTGTTCATTTAAAAAGATTTATTTTGATTGAAATAAATTATTGTTGGGTCTTGGGCCAAATCTGAACAGATTTCATAATTATTGCTTGATATCCGGTATCATGTGAATGGATAAGTCTCATAAAGATGAATACATGGAAATAATAAATATACATTAAATCATAGTCTTGGTTGAATTTTTAGAATTTTCTGGTCTATTAATATTTAATTTCAGAGTTTAAACTGTATTTCTTATTAAAAATACATTAATTCTTTATAAGTCATATTTTTGAAAAATCAAATGTATAAAACAAGAATGTATCCGTATACGTCCGAACGTATAAAACATATAATACAACGTATTTTAAAAATTTGATTTGTATTATACACGAACGTACGAATAAGCATTTTATACCCGTATCTAAATAAGCTTAAGTGAGGTTGGGAGTTAAACAATGGAGGAAAGAAGAAGAAGAAAGGATCGGAGGTGGCTAGGGTTGTTGGGGGAAGAAGAAGAAAAACAAAAAAAAGAAAAGAAAAACAAAAAAAGAAAATGTTGAGTTGGCAAGATAACTCAACCTCCACGTCAGTAAAATGACTTGCAGATTACCGGCAACCTGCTAAATTTTTTTCTTGAAAAATTTAGTAAAATTTGATATTTATTTGATAGAAAATGAACTTTAGGTACTTAATTGAAATAGAGTTCAAAGTTCAAGTACCACCGATGAAATTTAATCCAATTTCGAAACATGCACTATTAAAAAACTTAGAAGGGAGAGAAAAAAGGGTGAGGCTGGAAAATTTTCGCCCGTCTATAAGCAAGAAAATGGTTGGGTTGGAGAGAAAACTCAGAAAATGACAAATTTACCATTTAGCCTTACCCTTATCAAATTATTCCTTCAACGTTGCTTCCTCACATCTTTTCCATAGCTTTTGTCCGGAGTATCATTCCCGAGTACCTATATCATGCATCCAGAATGAACGGTATTTCTCGTACATCTGCATGAATACTCATTATCGGGTAACTAAGTACTCATTTTTGGGTAACTGAATACTCACTTTTTAACATAACTGAGGTTTAGAGAATGAGTATCTGGTTACTTGAGAATGAGTATTCACTTGCTCAAAAATGAGCATTTACTTGCTCATAAATAGACATTCTGCGTAGATGTACGGGAAACATCGTACAACCGATTGTACCGTATATATCTCGTAGTGATGGATACCTGGCTGATGGAGTGGGCCATGGAGTGGGCCAAGAAGGCCTAAGCATGCTATGTTGAGCCCAATGTGGATGAGGGGTCGGATCCACGACTGCTAGGCCCAAAGACCGAATAGAGTCATGGACTGAGTCCAACCCCAAGAGCTAAAAGGGGAGATACGCGTGGAGCGCAATTCTCTTGATCATGGGGATTTGGAGGAGATCGATGAAGGATTTCTCGCCCATAATGAACGCACGGTCGCCTAGTCTTTCCAATAATATTGCACACGATCGACTTACCATGTACGCGATAATATTAGACTATAAATAGGGGATGAATCCTTCATTGTATACCAAGCTAAATCAAGCTAATACATGAATTACTAAAGAGCATATTTTTCAAGAGTTTATCTTAATTTTATTCTTAGTTCTTCGTTCTACTATTGTTGTTGGGCTAAATCCATCACACAGAGTTTTCGATGCATCGTTGCCCGTCGTTTTTTTAAATATGGGATGTTATTATATTTTTGGTTAGATTTTTTAAATTAAGTGACATTGCCCATTCAAAATCCTTTACTATACTGTTTGAGACTCGCTTCATGAGAATCTTATGAGTGGACGACACACTTGGCCTTTTTTGACACGTCAACTTGTCATGTCATTTATAGAGTACGTGTTGATTATTACTTGCTGATGTTACATTTTTATTAGTTATAATTACTCATTTTATAACTTTAATAAAAAAATTGCACTTTTTGTTTTATGCCTTAGTTACCTTATTAAAAATTTATGTTTTTGCCATAACTAAAACCAATTTGGGGTGATGCTTTAATTTAAATATAAGTTTTAAGTACGATTAAATTCAAATTTTTGCCTTATTTAAAGTAAAGTTTTATAGTTTACCAAGTTATAAAAATATAAGTTTAAATACAATTTCTTGGGTTATGTAATTTTTGTAAATTTTACTCAAAGAATTTAATAATTCTTGTCTTATACGGAGTATAATTTAAGTAATTTTTACCAGATGATTTTATTAGGAATTCTTTCCTTGTGTGATTTTTGTTATTCTATACTTTACTTTTTTTAAACATTATTTACCACTCCGTCCGTCCCCCCTAAGATCTTATTTTGACTTTTTTGTGATTTTTAAGGCGAACTGATAAAAGATGAAAGTATACCAAAATACTGTTAATAAAAATAGGTGGAGTGTATTAATTGAATAATTGAGATGATAGAGGTGTAATAAATAAAGTGGAGATAATTGTGGTATTTTAAATATTAAAAAAAGATAATGAGAAGATCAATGAGAGACAAATAAAAAGGGCTAATGGGAATAAAAAATGAAATTCTTGACTAACTCACCAATTTAAAATATGATAATAATAATTATTTTAATAGATAAATAAATTATAGTATGTTAGAATATAAATAATTGTTCCTGGGCCACAACCACAAGCTTGAGCTTTTGGTTGAATGTGTTCCTTCACATGGTATCGGAGCCTCGTTGACTAAGAGATCACGGGTTCGAAACTCAGCGCCACCCAGTTTAAAAAAATTAAGGTTTCACGTGCAAGGCTCGAAAAAGACTACGTCTGCACGTGAGGGGGCGTGTTAGAATATAAATAATTGTTCCTGGGCTGGTTCAATGGGTTCCTTCACATAGTACACATTGTGAAATAAAAATATAATCTTGCAAGTAAATTCTATAATTGGTCCCTAATTATAGGTGATTTTTCATATTTATTCTTCAATTCTAAGATATTTTATAAATGGTCATCAATTTTTTAAAATAATTTCATAAATAGGCATTTAGGACAAATATGACAAAATCGTTTTTCCACATATAGTTCCTGAATGACATATTTTGGAATTGTTTTCAAAAATTGAGAATGATTTATGTGATTCCTTAGTATTAGAGATTAAATATAGAACACCAAGGTTCAAATGACATTGAACCTTGCCCAATATAGAAAAGTGACTATAATTAAAGATTGTGTATGCAGTTACTCTATTTCTTGATAATCATTTATTTATAATCAAAATCGAAGTTCAATATTTTTATTCTCAAAAAAATGGAGTTAAAATACATTTACAATGTCAATCTTGTCAA